CAAGAATTGAGAAGTGCTTTGAAGCTGCCTTTGTTTTAATTTATTGTTTAATTTCAGTAGCATTAGCCTCTCTTGAAATTGTTATCCATCAATCCAGCTCTTTTTGGCTTCAAAATGTCTTTTCCTGTTGAGAAAATGTGCTCTACAGCTGCACTTGATGGAATGGGTATATAGAAATAAATAATGAAAGATTTAAAAGCTTTCATCAGTGCTGCCTTCCATCTTCACTGAAAGTTTTTTCAATGATAATTAGTTTTACAGTTTCTTTCCTAGCATTTGAGTTAATCCAAATCAGTTTAAACCATGGGTGAAAATCAGCTGTTAGAATGTGACTTTCATTGACAATTATAAAATTGAACAAATAATATGTGATGTAATATCTTATGATGTTAGAGACTTATTATTTCAAATTAGCTTATTAATGCATTTATTATTATTATCACTGTCATCATATTCATTTATTTTTTGATGTTGTGTTATTTAAATACTATCATTTAATGTATTGAAGGCTGTATGGTAGTTAGCTGCTTTCCTCTTATCATTCATATATAGGATAGGTTGTTCTGAGAAATCTGTATTATGTTATTGTAGCAATAAAATATTACCACTTACCAATAAATTTGCATTTTTCATTCTTACATTATCCATTTACAAAAATAAATTTTATCATGAAAAATCTCAGTTTTAAAAATAGCTATTTTTGTAGTGACAACAGTAGCACTGCTGTATTTTTCTTGCTGTAGTGGTAATGATAGTGGTGCTCTATTGAAAAGGTAGCACGCACAGCTATGGGTATGGGTAGTGGTGATCTGACAAAAGACATCAGATAAGCATCTTGGAATGGACTAGCTAAAAGTATAGTTTGTTATGTACACTTACATACATTCTTGTTATACACACTCATAAAAATGAAGACTACATCACAGTAGCAATTGATTGTAAGCAAATTATTTAAATATTGTGTGAGTGTCCATGCATGATGAACGGTTTATTTCATTGACATCAGAACCAAAGATATACGTTTCAACATGGACCCTAACTCCTGCAGCAACATTTTTCATTATTTTTGACTAAATGCTTCATTATTGAGAACTTCTGTTAAAACAATTAGCTAACTAGGTCAGGACATAAACTAAAACAATTAACAAAGAAACTAAAATTAATGATTAATGTTTAATAATTTTTTAAATAAACTATCACACTTTAGATTTAAATTTGTAGTAATGATTACAGTTTCTAAAATTAAATGAAAAAATGATAACATAAAAAACTTAAACAGCAGTTGAATAAACTATTTTTACTTGCTATTTTAAACTTTAGGTACTTAATTAATAGGTATGCCCAAGAATGATGAACAACAAGCAACAGAAAAATACAACCCAGTATTGTATTTCAGTTTTTTCCATTAGTGTTCCTTTTGCTGCCAGCTTGTATGAAGAATAATTTCTACCTTTGTTTACATCTAGTTTGAATAAATCTTCTGAATCAAGCCTGAATTATTTACTATTTTAAAAATGCTAATATGTCTTGATGGTCACTGGCTTATACTTAGAACCCACTGGCTTTTTAATTAAACTGTGTTTTCATTAGTCATCCTAAAATCTAATATCAAGTACCTCAGCAGTCAAAAGTAAGACCTAAACTTGGTTTGGTTTGAATATCACACAAAGCTACACCAGGGCTATCTGTGTTAGCCGTCCCTAATTTAACAGTGTAAGACTAGAGGGAAGGCAACTAGTCATCACCACCCACTGCCAACTCTTGGGCTACTCTTTTACTAATGAATAGTGCAATTGACCATCACATTATAATGCCCCCACGGCTGAAAGTGTGAGCATGTTTGGTGGGATGGAGATTCGAACCCGAGACCCTCATATTGCTAGTCGAGCGCCCTTTCCACCTGGTCATGCCGGGCCTAAGATCTAAACTAACTGCCTCATTGAGCAAAGTTAAGATAAAGATGACTTGTGTGTATCCTTTTAATTTTAGTTTTCTTAATTTGGTTTAATAGCTTAAAAAATACTGATAGAAACCTAAGCTATAGTATAAACACCAAATATTAAGAAAAAATACTGTTATAAACTCAATATAACTTCTCCTCATTTTGAACAACACTTTAACTCATGAGATAGGTTATGAAATATGTTCATGTTTGCATTAGAAGTTTATACATTGAAGGTCATATACCATGGACCACTCCTGTAGTCTTCTATAAGTTTCACATACTTAAAGTAGTGCTTCTGAATATGAAGTTGGGATTGGTGAAAGTAAGTTTTATAGCCTTAGATTACATCAAAATGTTAAACTCAAAGATAAGAAAATGCTTAATTTGAAATTATGATTATCCAAGTACAAATTTTGTGGGAGTGGTAGCCCTGTTTTTTTATAGTTTTGCACTTTTTGTAATTTTGATATCAACTGTTAAAGTGACTATTTATATATAAATCTGGTGCTAGCAGAACATATGATATTCTATTTTAGTGGTTGTTAGCTAGTCTGAAATGTAACAATAACAAAAAACAAGCGCAGTTATAATAAGATAAAATCTGCAAATACAAAGCAATAGTTAAAATCTTTGTAAGACAGAAAAGAATTAAGTGATTAATTTTTCAACTAAATTATCTTCTGGTGAACTTAAAAAAGCAAGAAGATTCATTAACATATATAAATAGAATGCCACTTCCTGGATGAGGAAAGCTAGAGGATTAAGAGTGTGTAAAGTTACTGAAGCGAGGGATAGAGAAATTTTAACCATTTGTTTCTATAGTTTAAACTGTAAGCTTTTTTATTCTTCTATAGTAGGCAGTTATCTTGAGACAAAACGTGAGTTACAAATTGTAGTTATTTAAATACCAGGAATATGCACTCAGTATCAATAGTGCACAGATCACCAATTCAAGGAAGTTTATGGGAGAATAAGGAAAATAGAGACATGTAACGATTAAATAAAATACATCTATTAATTCTGTTATATAAAGTTTATTTGATACTTGTCATTGGTTTAAATGTAAGCTAGTTAATTGATGACTTTTGATTTTTATACAATATTGCACTTCAAAAATAAAAATAAACGTACTTAGAAGTTGAGACTTGTTCCATTTCTTATGATTCTGTTAGGGCTGATTTGAGTTGATGAAGTTTGATTGGCTACTTCCTACTGGGCTCTTTCAGAAGCTGACTCAAGCTAACCTTTTAACTCCATTTTTAATCTAGCTTTTATATGTTTTTCTTGTTATGTAGTGTGTGTGGATAGAACTGGCTAGTTATCATGAGATTTTTCCAAATATGGGCTGTATTATTTTTCCTAGAAGATTAAGAAACATTCTAACAAAAATTACATCACTTATAGGCCATTGCCATCAAGGACAATCTTGGCAATAGTGCTTTGTTCTCTACGTGCTTATTAACATTATATAATGACCTCTAATCATCAAAATATTTGATGTCCTTCCAGTCTGTTCCTTTCAGTAGGAACTCTTCTTCTATATTCATAGCAAATATAGTTTTATCTCATATAACTAACTAAATTTTTACATTCCATTGCTTAGATATGTCATGTGATAAATTTAAATTCCTGTTCATGACATGAAGTAGAGTATTACTCAACTTGATCAAAATTAACTCTTTTATCTTAATGTCAATTGTAAAGAGTTTGGTATGTCATTCTGGCTTCATGCTGTCAGAAAGTGTACTTGTCTTATGATAAATATGTCTAATGGGTACATGTTACATGTGTCTTCAATGCTGGTCATTACTGAATCTTTGTTTGTATTCAATAGCTGTATGTTTCTTTCATCTTTATAGTATCTGTTCTGTGCATGTTACTTCCCTTAGTGTTAACTGTTTTCTTAACTTTAGCATCTATTAAATGTTGTTATTTTAATCAATTGTTTTTTGTAGCCTGTTTAAGTAACCTTGTCTCAGTTTTTCTTCAAAGATTACTTCAGCATTTTTCTAATATTTAAGTAATTAGTTCTTTATGATATGCTTAAGGTGATTTCCTCATTTTATTTAATTATGCTCATGTAAATACATTTAAAAACTCCGATGTGTTTACTTACGTAATACTCAGATATTTTAATGCATTGTATTATATTGTGTGTGTAGTAGTTTCAGTTGTTAAAAGTGCCCTTACTAGCAATTTCTAGTGGCTTAACTCTTTAGCTAAGTTTGTAGAGCACTCATCTGATATGTGACAGGCTTGGGTTCAAATCTAAGACCTGTCACATACCAAGTGAGTGCTCTACCAACAGAGCTAAAGGATTAACCCATTACCAACTGCTAGAAAAGCACTTTTTAACAGCTCAATCTACTACATATGTTTACACTGTAAAGAAAAGCACCCTGTTTTAATCTTATAAATCATGTTGTTTTTTGTATTTGGATCTGAAGTCCCATTTTTGAAACAGCAGATTCTAATTTGAAGTGCTAGACTTTTTGGAGTGTAATTCCTGCTTTTATTAATTTAAAAGATGAGAAGCATCATTAGTTGCATCATTTAATGGTTTCAAATTATTAATTTCTTTTTGTGATAAATTTATCATCAGAACTTATTGTACCATGTCATTGAAAGATAATAACAGTAGTATTAATGTTCCAACTTATTTGAAACCTGGTTGATTGTCAATGGCCAGTTCTTATGGCTCATCTATGATATTCAAGAACATTTCTTTTCTGGTATTTTATTGAACTTTGTTGCATAATGATTGAAATATCAACTTTGATGATTCATTTCACCCTGTAAACTAAAGGAAAAAGCACTGGTTAGAAACATACATGTAAAAGACAGGCTAAGAATTATGCATTTGAAACCTGATATTGTGGTGTTTTTAGTCTGTGTTGTGTACCAAGAAGCACTGATTGGAAACCCATAAAGGGTTTACTGAAAATTACCAATATGTCATTGGTGGTGTTTATAAAGTGACTATTTTTATTTATGAATCACAGTTTTAATTTAAGCAGAGAATATTTAACTTATTTTTTAACTTTTTCATTTCTAGATGTCAGATTGTCAGAATTCAGAGTCAAGTTTCAGAAAATATTTGTTGGACATCATTCTCTTATGCCAGTCAATTTCTACATTTTTCAGTTTTAAAATGCCACAGGATATTCATATTACAGCAGAATATTCTAGAGATAAAGAATGTTTGTAAGCACATAAACTTTTTCATTTTCAAATAAGTAATAAGATTAATCAATACAAATCGAAAATTTATAGCTAGAACTTTGCAAAAGCTTTGAAGTTCTCGAGTTTTAATGTGGTATTTTATAGTGATACTCTTTACAGATAATGATACTAAATGATTAGATTACATTGAACTTATTTCAGGTTAAAACTCTTAAAAAACATTATTCAAAAATACTATTACTTGAGTACACTAAAATAGTAAACCAGATTATCAATGCAATTAAACCAGTTAAGTAAATTTTACTAATTTGTGAAAGGTATCTCTTTTTTTTTATATGAAGCAGGAAGTTAAGAAGACTTGAAGTTGTATGTTCAATTGTTTTCTCATATTGAATTATTTCAACTTAGAATTTAAAACAAGTTTATATTGGATGTTATTCAAGGTTTGAAATTCCACAAAGAAAAAAAGAAGACTTTTTTAACCCAGGACTGCGTTCACAGATTGTGGACTTCATTTTAAGGAGAAACAGATTTAGGAATGAACTAGATCAAGTTTGTGCATTTGGTAAATTAAAATGCTTTTATCATTGATATTATTTTTATCCTTTGCTTTAAAACAAAATTGGGATTTTAAGATTTAATTTTTTTTAATTTCTGAATATTGCATAATTTCAGACTTGATTTTTCAAACAAGATACAATGCTAAAAAAAAATCCAAAGATGACTAAATACCAGAAACTTTTTACTAACTTTCTATCATTTTTTAATAGCCATAACTTCATCAAACTTGTTATTTTTATTAATATTATTTACCAAAGATTTGTTTATATTACTTTGTTTAGAGTTCATGGTAAAAATAATTTTTCATGAAATTAAATACTAATTTAGGAAAATTTATGCCATTATAATTTACAGAATTTTTTGTCAACTTGGTTAAATATAATTTTTAAATTTTAGAAGACATTTCATGTACTAGATATTAATATTAGTAAAAAAAAAGATTAAGGTAGGGTGGGCATCTACGCTATAGATAGAGAATACTTAGTCCAGTATATCGTTGACCTTTTTGTTTTGCTATTTGAACAACATTTTTGTGGAATTCAGATTAAAACAATCCATGATATTTGTAATAGATGTATAGATTTACTAATGTAGTACTACATAAGATGTAGGATAAAATAAATCAGTAGTACAACTGTAAAATATGTCAGTAGCTGTTCTGGTTTCATGTACAACTAGGTAGTTGTTTAATGTAGCGTCCAGCAAAAGTGAACTTATGTTACTATAATGGAAAATAAAGAACGTTAATCTACTGAAGCATAGTATAGTGTGTGATATATATAATGTTTTCATTATAGCTTACTTGCAAATAAAAAACTGGCCGATAATGTGTATGTCTGTGTAAAGTTTGTAATTTTTTCCCTCTTAATATAAGTATTCTCACAAATACTTTTTCTTTGAGTTAAATTATGTTTATGTTTTTTCAGGTATGAAAAAGTACTTTCAAAATAGTTTTGTTGTAAAAATAAATGTATTTGATTTGCTAATTTATTTTATATTTAAAAGTCAAAATATGTTAAATATATTACTTTTTAACTAAAATTTTCAGGAATAACCAAGCTTATAAATGATGGTGTGTATGAAGCAGCTTATCCTTTGCATGAGGTTAGTTGAAATATTTTAGATTTATAATTTGATTTTATTGAAAATAATACAATAATAGATAACATTTACAAATATTATAGCACAGACACACACTGTATTAAGAGGTTTTTCTCTAAGAGGAATATTATGTTGTGAATCAATAAACAAAAAAATTAAGACGTTATTATTTTAGAATGATTCAACCATTAAATAGTATTTCAAAACTTGTAACAAGTAGTATTAATGAATGTAACTTTAAAAGAATATGGTGTATGTCGTTACTTAAAAAAAACAAGTAAGGATCAGGTGTTTGCTTCCAAGATTTACATACCTTACCGATATACAAAACCAAAATATATATATAAGTGTTCATTTTTAGTAATTTACATACAACTGAAAAACTGATCAAAAATGCAATATAAGGCTAAACTCACAAATAAAAGAACTAAAACTCTAGCTGGCTATATTTAGAATTATATAGAAGTTTGTTAGATATACACAGCTGTTCATTTTAAGTTTAATACAAGAGTATTATTTAGTTTTATATACTAAAGTAAGTTATTTTTAAAAGTGATAGTTATGGCATGTTTGCTTACATAACTGTTTACAAATCATTTGTTGTGAATTGACATCATGTTACTCGAACCTTCTGAATGTTTCTTATTGCTTTAAGTGAGTATTGTTACATCATAATATCTCCTAGTTTGTAGAAAGTTCTGGGCTTTAGTTGGGCAATATATATATATATAGGCAACCAAGTTAGTGAAAGTGAAGATAAAAGAGAAGTTAGACTGCATGTGAGTTTATTTGTAATAAACAATTTTTAAAGTGAGTTTCACAGCTTGTATTGCAAAAATAGAGATAGAGAATAATAATGTATCTTGTCAAAGGGTGTTCTAAAGTACTTGAACCTACCTGTGTGCATTTTGACATAAAAGAGAATTATTTCAAGCTCTGGATTCAACTGTGATAATCAACTGTGTAACAAACATTTATATATACATTTGATTTGTTTTAATATATTATTTTAAAACAAGTGGATTGTGTGCTGTCTGTTTATTGTTGAAATTTATCGCCAACAAGTCACAGACACCTACTGTAAAGAATCTGGCGTTATAAAACCTGACAAAGTTCTCATGCTGAAATTTTTATTACAAATGAGAATGTAAAAAAAAAATCCATTAGTCTGAAAAGTTCATACATGAATCGTACATAAGTTGTATGTATGGCTTTAAACACATCATAAAAGTCAGAATGAGATTGTTTTTCTACTTTTATACTATATGAATTTCTGTTTGATATTTTATTCTGTGTAGCAGTACATAAAGCATAGTGACAGTGATACCTAAAAAGTAAAATATTCTAATGATGTTTTTGTAATATGTTCAACACTCAACCATTGAGATCATGCTTGTTCTAAATAAAAATGTTGAAGTATAAGGGCTATTGGCATTAATTGTTTTGGCTTAATTTACCTCGGAATGATTTATGTACTTAAGTTTTTTGAAACTACTGAATAATTCATTATGAATAATACTTTATTATAGGGAATATATAGCACTTTAGATGAGAACAGTCCTCGTAGACAGTTGATAAATAAATGGGCTAATATGGGGTCAATGTGGAAAAACCAACCTCTTGATGACATCAAGTATGTATAATTGTTTATTTATAGTACACATTTAAATACAGTAGTTTTCATAAAAGGCTTTAAGTAAAACTGCTTATTTGACAAAACACAATCTGGGAATTTTATGCAATCTAGTAACTGGAAACTTTGATATAAATGCAAAGAAAATATTCTATTGAAGATAGTCAAAATAAAGTCACTGTTAATGAATATCACAATAATTCTTGTATTTGTGGTTTAGCAAACTGCTTATTCATCTGAAATTATGTTGTATAAGTGCTGATTATTGGTTATTAACTGAATCTGTGCATGTTTTTTTACACACACTTCATCAAACAACCCTAATTTCATTCCAAGAAAAGAAAAGATTTATATTTCTGAGCAGGAGCCCTGCCTAATGATCTTAGCTCTAAAGCCAATTTTCCTTGATTCTGCTTTTTTCAAAATATGTTATAAACATGGAATTCTTGGGCCTTTTGAGGTTTCTATGTTTTCTTGTAGCTGACTAAGAACTCTGTAAGAGGTTTAAATCAAGCTTATGAATCTCAGTTCATCAGCATTTTGTGTTCTGTGAAACTATTCTCCTACAAAAAACTATTTCACACTTATATTATAGTCTATAATGTGATCACAGAAGATAAAGAATTGAAGAATAGTTCTTTTAGTTCTCTTGGAAACATGGTAATCTTTAATGCTTTAATTATATGCTTTATGATAAAATAATCATTTTTGTAATGTGATAAAGTATGCCATACCAAAAACGTGTCATTGAGATGTAAGAGTTTATAATTGAATAATTTTTTAAGATAAAATGCATTATTAGTCTCATATATATATTAGATTCCAGTGTTTTAAAAACATATACATAGTGAGTTTTTTTATTCATATCTTCAGAACATTAGATATAGTAAATGTGATTGTAAGCATTTATGTAGTTACTGTTTTGTTTGATTCTGTTTTTAGGAGTAATACAGTAGAAGTAGGTAATTTTGTACTTGTTTTGTGTTTCAGGAGAAAATAATGGTTTGGAGTTATGAAGGTTGTCTTTTCAGAGTTTTGTACAATGCTAACTTGTTTTCTTTTGCAGAGAATATTTTGGAGTAAAGATTGGTCTATACTTTGCATGGCTTGGTTTCTATACATGTATGCTGGTACCGGCATCAATTGTAGGAATTTTATGCTTTCTATATAGTTGCTTTACATTGACGAACAAACCTCTAAGGTATGAAATATTACTTAATTTGAAAGTCAATATTTTATTACAAGATTCTTCTCTATTTACATTTAGTAGCTAAGAACCTATAAACTGTTTTATTTCCATAATGTAACAACCTATATGTAATAACATTTTATCAAACAAATCATTAAAGAAAAACTTTTGTAAATGAATGGCCATTTTTTTATAGCAATGATGTGTGTGAAGACCTCAAGGATATTTTAATGTGTCCACAGTGTGGTATGCATTTATGCAGGTTTTGGAGACTTGGAGAAATGTGCATGTATTCTAAGATGGCTAATTTCTTTGACAGTGGTCCTGTTGTATTTATGGCTGGTTTTATGTCTTTGTGGGGTAAGTACTTTAAAATACAACCCCCCAAAATTATTTTAATGATAGGAAAAATAAGCATGGAATTATCTTCCATTAATTTCATTTGAATGTATGTAATTATTTATTAGATTATGAAAGAAAGAATATTTGTTGGATTTTGAAAATTACATTTATTTCCTACCAGCTTGTATGTAAAAAATCTTATAATTTATAAAACAAATACTATTTAATATTTAAAATAAAAATTAGTTAGAAATGAGAAGAACAGAAAACATTTAATATGAATAAACATCATTGTGTTTGTATAGTTATGTGATTGTTAAAAAAATCTGAAGCATTATATGCAATTGCTTTAAGTGGCAGGAATATGTCAGTTGAACCAGTTAGATAACAAAGTAACAGAGAAGTTTGTTTATTTTGATTTTACAATAAAAGTAGCAAACATATAATTAAAATTCAATGATTATAATATTGTCATCATGTTTTTTGTTAAATTTCTATTGAACTTAAAAGGTTAGCACTTGTTGATTAAAATATTAGTATTATTTACAAAACTAGTTAACCCATGGGCATGTGGCTCACATTTACAGGGCTGCTATAATGCAAATTCAATGCTTGAACTACTATTTTGCACTTTTTCAGTTTAATGATCATTGCTGCTATAATGCAAATTTAATTTCTTTAACCAAGTTATGAATGGTAATTAGTAGCCCTACTTATTTCATGCTTTATTGTAAATCAATGCCAAATTTGGGGTCTGCTTTTGGGGGAATTCCTATAAAAGTGTTTTTGTGAAATACCCAGGTTCTGTAAGGGGTTGGGTGAAAAGTTTTACCTTTTTGCAAACCTCGGGACTGAAACAATTTGTTCGGTACCACTTAGAAGTTGATACAACCAGCGGTTTAGGAGGAATTATGTGACACACACAGACAATCACTGAATCTTATTATATACATAAATATTTCAGATGAAGTTTACCAAGTTTTGTTAAAAACATTGTTTTTTTCATGTTGATTTTATGTTTCTAATGTATATAGATTTCAACAGTTACATTCATGCTTAAATTAAAACTTTTACCAAATAATTGAATTTTGTGAATAATGTTATTTTGAAACTTAGATTGTGTTATTTTGCTACAGGGTGTACAGCCTTGAAAATTTACAAAATATTTTTAAATTTCTAGGTGTGATATTTCTTGAATTATGGAAAAGGTATTCAGCAAACATCACACATCAGTGGGACATGACAGGTTTTGATACTATCCAGGTAACTTATATTAGATTCATATAAATACCACAATAAATTTGATTTGTCTTTGCATCCCAGAGAGCATTTGCATATGGTGCCTGCAAGGGTGCAATATAATGAAAAAATGGGGCCCTTGTGGGAGGACAATTTTGCACCACTGATACCATAAGGGGCCCACATGGGCAAAGATAGATGGGTCCAGCTAGGGACCCTTCTGGGAAATATTCTGATTTCGCACACCACTCCCATTTGGAGCCCATGTGGGTAAAGATAGAATGGGGTCAGTTAGGTACCCATATCAGTTGATGTGTATGTACATGTAATGTATTGGTGTGATTGATCACTCGAAACTTTAACAAAATTGACAGATTTCTATTCCAACAAGAAACTGTTTTATTTGGCTTCTAAGAAATAAAAACTAACACATGTGAGTCAAGAATGAATGTCTGCATTTAATCATTACTGTCTGTATCAGTTCAGGGATGGTTAGTGCTGATAGCCCTTGTGTAGCTTAGCATAAAATTCAAAAGAAATCAAACTAAATCTTTTTTTAGTTTTTACTGTTTTTTTATGATTTATAATTATGAGGACTGCTTCAATCAGCTAAATACAGAATCAACAGAAATGTATTAATGAGTATCAAACTGGTTAATTATTTAAGATTGAACTTGCTGATCAGTAATTCTAATTGTAATTCTAATGTGAAAAGAAATATTTTATTCAAAACAGTTCTCACAACAAAATTGTGGAAATTTTATAATAAAAGAATAGCAGAAATACTAAATTAAATTGTATGTACTGTTTGATTAGCTTGAACTAAGTTACATGCAATTTGGTTAAGTATTTCCCCTATTAAAATGACAAAATCATGGAATATCAGTGACACCCCTCCAGTCTGAAAAGGGTTATAGGATGATCATCTCCAGAATCTGTGTGATGTGAGATGATATATGTTCTTTCTAGATGATAATCTGTTCTGACAACTTATTGACAAATTCTGTCAGTAACATTTTGAGTTTTCTCTTGTGATATAAACTCTGATTATTTGCACAGTGTTTGGCCAGTGATTTCAGATATACTGGCAACCATGTGTTTGTCTTTCTAAATTACTAGTTTCTTTTTCATGCACCATATCACTAATAATTCTGGGCAGTATCTATATTACTTGCTTACTACAATAGCAAACCTAACTAGAATATATAGTGTTCTTGATGAGCTTGGTTTTTCCAAAGAAAACTGTGTGGATTAATCCTTGTATGTAGCTTCAACCACAATGCTAGCTGATGGTGCAGCCTAAGATTGTGTTTTTAGAAAACCACAAAATGATACATTGTGGTTATGTTATCATCCATATACACTTGTGTAGTCCACTACTTTTATGCATATTTTGGCTGCCATTTTTCAGTTTCACCTCATAATAGGTCCTATGACATCAAATTAACCATCACACCTTAAGAAACAGAGAGATGACTCTTTCCTTTTAGTCATTTTCCAGATCTGAGCTGAGGCTCACTAGTTTCAAATAATGAGACTAGACAGTATTTATAGCCTGTCATCTCCCTTGAGCTTATTGTTGATTGTTCTGTCTTCAGTGGAGTCCTGAAGTTATTGCTGCAGGTTTCCTTGACTCTGGTTACTTTTTCTAAGTTACTGTCTCAAATCTTGTTACCACATACAATGTTTCAATTAACGATATAAATGTCTGTAATGTGTAAGTGTTGTCATGTGGACTTACTAATGAAGCTCTCCACAAATTTATTGATCAGTTTATCTTCTTGATATGTTGCCATTGTGCTGAGATGTGCTTTACAATGTATCATAGCTCATTTATATACACAGTTAAGTTTTCAAGGGTATCATGTTTATGAGCTTTAAATTTCACCCAGCAGTTGGCTTTATTCTGTACAAGATCAAAATGGTGTTGCAGGTCTGCAGTGATGGTTTCCTATCTGCATACTTGTTGAGGTTCTAGGTTCTTCATGCCATATGATACTACATTGTCTAAGCTATGCAGCAGACACCATGTCTCTTCATCGTGGGTCTAGAGAATCCAAGCAATGGGTGAAACTGCTTAAGGAAGCAATTTAAATCTTTCATTGCTGAAAGCCTGAGGGATGGAAGGTGACATTTATTTCACATCACTAGTTGCTGTTTCTGTGTTTTATGCACTAACTCAATTTAATGAAGTATAGTTACTTCATAAGGAAAGATCACATGCTGTAATGAAACTAATGCATACTTTCAGTTTCAACATTTAAATTCTAGACTAAGATACATGTAAGTAAAAGTTATGAATATTAAATATACTTAAAGACACAGGCACAATCCTGCAGAAGTAATTAAACAATTAAGAACTTATTCAACGACCATTATTTTCCAGTACATGATAAGGCCCTTACTATAATGCCTCAAATGAACATTACCTTTCTCAGCCTTGTACCTATGACTTTAAAGCATTAAACAAAAATCAGTTCATTTTGCATACATAAGGATATAATCTGTTTGCTCATTTTTGTTATACTAAAACATTTTTGTCTTTAGGAATACCCAAGACCTGAGTATTTGGCAAGGCTTCCAGTTGTTAAAAGAAAGAAACTGAACGTTGTTACCAATGTAAGAAATTTTTTTATGTATATTAGATGCTAAATATAAAAAAATACATAAGTTTCTTTTATTTCCTAAATTTAAAAGTCTGTTGGATGGAATAACTACATACCTTACTCTCTTATAATGTGTACCTTTCATATCTACAAAACACTTGTGTGTCCTTGAAAACTTGGAAAATTATGAAATTTTAAAAATTATTTTCAAGGCTTAGAAAGTCATGGAATTTAGCATTTTGTTTCCATAAATATTCTTGAAGGTCATGGGAAATATCAAATCTCAATAAAGAACAAAACTTCTGTGTTTGATTAAACCAAATAACTGATTTTTTAACAATAAATACTGATTATTTGTTTTTTTCCAGTCTCATTAATATTGTGTGTGCCCCGTGTGGCTCAGCAGAAAATGTGAAGGCTGAAAACACTAAAAACTAGATTTTGATATCTGTGGTGGGACCAGCACAAATAGTCCATTGTGTAGCTTTGTGCTTAACTACAGACAAACAATATTGTGTGCAACCACAGCTTTTTTGTCTCATGAAGTCTTGAGTATAAGCTAAATGTCCACTTCACTAGCTTCTTGACTGAAGGCAAACTCAAAATTCTTAACTGTATACAAAAGCTTCCTGATTTCTAAACACCTTCTTACTTTTAATTTGTATGTGTTTTGATAATTTAAAGAGTAAAAATGTAAAATTGCATAGCTTATTGCAGTGATGTGTATGCGTGTGTGTGTGTGTTTTGAATACTGTGATAAGCTATATTTTTTATATTTTGCTTTAGGTGCTTGATATTTAGAGGACACATAATGTAATATCTAGAAAGTTCATGAAAGAAAAATCTATAAATTTCCTGTACTATAAGATATAATGATAAAATATATATACCAGAATCATTAAATTAATCAGTGAAGTGAATCAATGTGATATTCAGTTAAGTGTTTGTAGTGTAGTAAGTTAGACAGTGAGAGTTAGTGTGCCTGTTTGTCAGTAAGGTAATTAGCATGTTCATACTTGACCGATAAGCAAGGAAATTTTACAAGTTATATGTATTTTCCATTAGTTTTATAGATTCTGTCTAAATGTTGTTTGTGAAATTAGGCGTACAAGTGAACATAACCTGTAGTAAACATCATTGAAGAAATAAATTAATTCATTATTGTTACATGGACTTCCATTATTTTCACCAAATAATCCAAAAGAACTCACTCAACAAAAGAACAAATTTTACCATTGGTATCAGAAGTGGGATAATTTTGGTAAAAATAATTAGATCTTTGACTAACATTCAAGGTGATGGTTAACAAAGTTGCAAAGCAAGACCAAAACTTTGCTGGATGTGACAAAATACTTAAAAGAAGGTCAAGAAAAGGAGACAGAAAATTAAAAGAAGACCTAAAAATAAAAGAAGAAAGAAACAGGAATTTAATGGAGGAGTTAAAAGAAAAAGATCTAGTATTTAAAGAAGGACTAAAAAACAAATTAAGTATGATTGAAGACAAAGTTGTTGGAGATATGCAGAAGGATTACAACAGAAGTAATATTTCAGAGCAGAGTACAGAGGAAAGAAGAGACCTAATTTATGGAAGATTTGGAAAGGCTTGCCCAGTTATTTTACAGGATGTTCCATGTAAAATGATGGATTCATTGGCAGTGACCAATTTACAGATGCCATAACAGACAAGATATGCAAGTTAGGCAAAAGTAGAGTAGGTGTGCATCTTTAAAGGAAGCTCTCCAGTTTGCAGTGGAACTAGAATCCATAAGAATTAAACTACTAAAGGCACCATCTAGAAGTTACAGGATCATCAGGTCCTGTGTCACTGAAACATTAACCCCCCCTGGTGATAGTCTAGAAGAACTGAAAGAATTAGTTAGACAACATGTTTTACAAAATGGAGGAAATAAACCACAAGGCAATAGCTCTTTCAAGTGTAACTTGAAATATTGCAAGAACTGCAGACAAAAGAATGTATGGAAAAACAACGTGTTTTTCAAAGGATGTAAGTGAAGGGGAACTTTATAAATGTAGGAAACATAGCCAAGACTGTGATAAATCAACAGCTATTAATACACCAAGGAGACAATACTTTTGGGATCAAAGGAACTTCAAGGAGCTAACTTCAACATTCTGCATGGCCCTAGACAGAACCACAGAAATGCTGGTATATTATCCATAAGACCATGTGTTAAAGAATACAAACACTATGGAAAGAGGGAAGTATAATATAGTAATATATATGAGCTTTATATTCCATTCTGGAAAAAGTAAGTACCACTTTTCCAGTTTTCATTTTCTGTGGTGTTGTTATGATGTGTTAATTTTAATAATTGTTGATATTTTAATTTGACAGGTATATGAGCCTTATATTCCATTCTGGAAGAAGCGAGTGCCACTTTTTCTGTTTTCATTTTCTATGGTGCTGTTATCAGTGAGTATTTTATACTCTTCTTAGATATGTTTATAGGTCATATTCAGAAAGAAATTGATATTTCATAAAGTTTGTCAGTAGTAATGAATCTACTATTATTAATTTTTATAAACTGTTTTCTGTGTTACACTTTCCAAGTAACCCCTCTGTTTTATATGCTTTAAGATTTTGTTTTTATTGTTGTTTTATACAACAACCTTAAAATATATTCTTGTTATATATTTTCTGTTCTTGATACAGTAACTCTTGATGTTGTACAATGGATCAGGGTCAAGTTAAGAGATTGGGGGGGGGGCTACTAAGATAAAAAAAACAATTGATGAAAACTGAATGTCTCATTGAAAAACATATTTTCAACTGTGTCACTATGACAATAGGGATTTCAATTGTTTAATATAAATGTATTGTTTTGTAATTTTTGATTAACTTATTTTTACAGCTTCTTCTTTCATAAATATTTGCTTGGCCATTTAACAAAAAATTCATTGTCAGTACTTAATATTTATTACAAATATTAGAATTAGTATTTTGTATATTGTCCAATCATTGCTCATGTTTCTTTATTGCTCAGACTGTAGCTATTAAAGAAGTTCAGTTTTGAGGGCCCTCCTCTACAAAATTTTCTCTGGGTCCCCAAGTCTTTATTTCAGCCCAGTCTTGGGTGATTAAATTACAGATGAGTAATTTTCTAATTTTACTGGTTTGAATAACTATTGAATTTCGTTTTTCAGGTTACAATAGCCTTAGGGGCTATAATTGGTGTGATCATGTACAGGCTTTCCATTAAAGCTGCAATAATTATTAGTAATGACGAGAAAGTGGCAAGTGCTGCATCTGTTATTATTTCTACAACAGCAGCAATCCTGAATCTTTTTCGCATTTTATTATTTAATCAGGTGATTAATGTTAAGCATTTGTCATAACTGTTTGATTACCAATATAGGTATATTATGTGCCTTCAATTATTGCATTGGATAGTATTTTTTATTAACATGGATATATATATATAGTATTGAAGTACCTTAAAATAATTGATTACAGATTAATCATTTAGGTAATTTTTCCATGTATTACAGATTTAATTAATATCGGTGACAAAAACCATGGTGGCCTTATAAATGTGATATGTGGCATATGTTTTTCCACCATATTTAGAGATATATTTAAATTTTTGAAGCTTTTCTTTTGTCTGTTTCTGTGCACCTTTGGCATAAACATGTGGTCCCGAAAACTACTGAATTTGTTCTGTTCTAGTTATCTTTATGTCTTATTCTCAATAGCAGATAGTATCTACTCTGCCAGAGAAAGGATAGAAAGGGTCAGTGGCTGCAATGTCCTTCACTGGTCAAGTGGATGATGTCTGTATGTGTTACAGCTCAAGGATACTGTGAGAGAATGACAATATCACAAAGAAAGGACACAAGGTTTCTCATAAGATCAAAACCTGTTTACTTTGAATGTTCTACTTGGCATTGTAGTGACTAGTTCTCCATATATTCCTCTCAATGGAAGAATGCTGATGATCTATATAAAGATCCAGTGGTAAAGTGATTGTCTTATGTCTATGCAATTATTCAAGCTGTTTTTTTGCTTTGGTTTTTTATAAGGATCATTTCACATAACATCAAACATGTCTGGTCTCCTTATTTCTTGCATAGCTTAAAACACAATCATGTTTTCAAATTCAGATTACTCTGTAAACCTCCTGTTGGATCCTCCAATTGTTAAGCAGACCTATCTGATATTTGAGCAGAAATCAGTTTAAACTAGATGTATAAAGCAAAATTTGTTAAAAACAGTTATAATCAGCTCCTGGGGTATGTTTAAGTAGAAGCACCATAAAATTGAAAAATAGTTATAGTGAATATTATAAGTAGAAAGTTTATAAATTGAAAGTCAAGATTTAAATTCAATCATAAGAAAACTATCTTTTATGTTAGGGTGATAATTATGGGAAATTAGATTGATTATCTGATGCTTTGATGGGATAATAATTTTAATTCGTTCAAATATTTTATTATTAGATTAAGTTTACAGTCTTTGTGGTTGTTGTAAAACATGAGTAAAAGGTAATGAATCATGTTGTGACCTTATCGTATTTCTGTTACTACATTAAGAATCACTAATTTCCATAAATCATTTAATAATTTCATTGATGTTTAAGTTGCAAAACCTCAATCTATATTTTAATGAGAAGAATCTGGTATATACTAAAGATTTTGCCTCATAGTTATTTTTTGAAATGTAAAGTCAAAACATTGTGTAAAGTGAGAAGAATTATTTTTCTGAGCATTAAGGTCAAAGTTCGGTGGTACACAAAATCTGTTTGCCATTAGTTTAGATTAAAAGAAATTCTTAATGTCTCAAAAATAAAAATATCAAAAGCTTATGGGTAAAATCTGATGTAATAGGACCTAAGAATGGAAACTGCTATGTATCATGATAATGCCTATTTTGCATTTGGATATACTGCATTAAGTTTAGTTTATGTGATTCAGATGAAAATATCTAAAGTTTGAAAATTTTCTATATACAGTATTTTCCCACAAATAACCCTCCTGCTGGTATACCCTGCACCTGAGGAAAAAAGTGCTCTAAGAAACTTTTAGGCACGTATTACCTGCCAGAGATACAGACAAATTTTGGAAGACAAAAAAAAATTAAAGAATTCTTTTACATAATAAAACCTTCAATAAACAGAGATTCTGGATTAGACATTAGTAACCTGTGGCTACTGTTGCTTAAATCTACAGGAAGTCTTTTCACCAATCAGAAACAGGGAAAAGTCATTCAATCAGAACATGTCTTCCACAATCCACCAGAATACTATAAAGACTGACAAAATCATACACACACTGACCTAAAGATGAAAGGCAGTAGACTTTCCAAATGTTGTCCTCTATACTTGTGTTTCTACAACAGGCAGTTGCCATCCATTCAACTAAATTCACCATGTTGGCTGTTGAATTTTATATCTTTTTATGAATTCGTCTAGATGATTATAAATCACTATAAAAATTACTGGTGAAGTCAATCACAGGTTAAAGGTTATGGTGACACTAGGGGACACACTGAAAGTAAAACCTACTCATCTTGGAATATGTGAGCAAGTAATTAAGTCACAATGGTAATCTATTCAAATATTTATAAATACAGTCAAAAGTGTATAAATATGAATTTTGACCAGAGAATAACTGGGATTGCTAACAGACTTACCGGCCTATTGATGAATCTCTTCACATGTTAAACATGAACAAGAACAACATAAATAAATATTTGGAATAGAAAATTGGCGATTTCAGGCTTAAAAACAAAAAAAATACTGTATTACTCGCACACGAGCACACCCTGTAATTGGCATTTTTTAAAATTAATTTAACACATAGCCCATGGGTTATTTGCGTGAAAATATGGTAACATGACAAGAAACAATTCTTTTCATAACTGTGTATATTATAAGTTAAATTAGTGTGTGGATGATCATGTGAGTATGATGCATAGGATAAATATCTAGAGTTTGAATTATCATGTATAAATGTATTTGGAAAACACTTTTTTTCAGAGCTACATAGATTGTAAATTAAACTAATATATGTATAATTACACAAGTAAATAATGAAGTACACTCTACAAATAGTCAAAGTGTAATGAACAAAACTCGACAAAACGAAATATTAATTTTACTTATTTAAACAGTGTATGTTACCATATATAATGACAAATTCAATACACAATCATATTGTCAGTTTTTATTTGCACATACAATTTCAATGTTTTGTGAACAGATATGTGTGGAAAACAGCCGTTTACATAGATTGTAAGTTAAACTAGTGTATGGATAATCATGAAGTATGCCACACAAGTATTCAAACAGCATTAGCCAACATGTAACAATTAATTTTACAAATTCAAACATTATGTTCTTCATTTATTAAATGGATATTAAAATGAAATTATATTAGAAATTTGACTGTAAAGATAATTTAAAACTAATATTGTGTCAGAAAATTTTGCATTCAAATTCAAACAAAGTTCATTATGATATAATTATAGCTTAGGAAACATTGAAATCCAATTGCTGGGGCACTGTATAGTGGCATTCTACATGATATGGCCAGGTGGTTAGGGCATTTGACTCGCAATCTGAAAATCTTGGGTTCAAATTCCCATCCCACCAAACATGCTTGCCCTTTCAGCCATGGGGCTGTTATAATGTGACAGCCAGTCCCACTATTCGTTGGTAAAAGAGTAGCCCAAGAGTGGGTGGTGATGACTAGCTGCCTTCCCTCTAGTCTTTCACTGCTAAATTAGGGATGGCTAGTGCAGATAGCCCTCATGCAGCTTTGCACAAAATTCAAAACAAACCAATCTACATGACACAACTTGACATCTATGTTCAGACAGTTAGTTTGCATGCAATCTGCATAAAATATCTGCCCACATTACTGATGATGTTTCATATAGATGATCTTCTTTCTCCCCTAGTTAGAAATTTTGGAAGTATTTAGTCTAGTGTTTTCCAAACTTTTGTCATCCCCCCCCCCCACTCCCCTTTAATATATACAGATTCTTGTGTACCCCCATCTACCTTTTTTTAATGAGTGATAAAGCAAGTTAATTGATGAGAAATAATACACGGATAAAAAAAGTGCTATTTGTGTTGTAGTAATTAGTTACTATTTTCATTTTTAAAAATATTTTAAGATGCTTAATTTTGCATTATTTACTCTACTCTAATTGCTGTGCCCCTCATCTGGGGGGCATGACCCACACTTTGGGAAATGTCTATTTTGTCCATTGTGGCAAACTTTGGCACTATCCACCCTTGGACGCTATTCTGTGGTACTATGGTGTCATAGGTCAAGTGACCCCATAAGCCAATCAGTGAGCATTCAGATGTACAATGGGCTGTATAATTGTATGAGGCTGTAACCTTGAAATATCACCTAAACAATCATTGTAGGGTACTTCTGTTGACATCTTTGAATGTGCAGTATTGCAACAACACCTTCCATGGCCAGAACAGGTATTATTTACTCAAGAGTAATAAAAACAGCAAGAAAGAAGTCAACATTAATAGCTTTCTCGTGAAACCTGGATACATACAGAATAAATATTGTTATTGTTGCTGTTTTATTGCAAAACTACATAGTGGGCTATCTATGCTGTTTCCACTGAGGGACACAGAACAAATTATAAATTCAGTATAAATACTATAATATTACAAGAAGATAGAAACACTTGATATTTTCATATTGCACATAACCACTGGTAACAGGAAGGTAAGTTTTAACTAAAAACCATAGTTTTTTTGAGAAGTTTTCATATAATATAGTGCCATCTAGTGTACTTTTATGTACATGGTTTATACTTTTGTTTAGATAGCATTTTGATTTTTATTTCCAACTTATACTGTGATTACAGTCGCTTAGGGGAAGTAATTTGATTTTTGTTTCCTTTACCTCCCCTTGTAGTATTCCGAAAGCTTTAGATGGGCTTGGCACCCAAGCATTTTACTGACTTACATCTGTGGTTTTACTTCACTGAAGTATTTTCAGGTCAAATTTATTTCTCTTAAAACAAGATAGGCCTATAGAATAACAAGAGATTCAACAAAGATATTTATTAGAAAGTAATTCTGAATATTCTGAGAGTAAATGGGTTCATGAGAAAGAAATAAAGAAACTGGACATGATTATACAACAATACAATGAACAGACTTTATTTAAATACAAACACAGTGTTTGTATTTGTTTTATACAACAAACACAGTGTACGTATTTGTTTGACACAACAAACACTTGTTTTACTGAATTTATAATACTTTCTCTACAGACCGATTAAACTTCACATTACTTAGTTAAATCAGTAATATCAGACCTATGCAGGGCAACTAGCAGTACCCACATGACTAATCATACCCATTAAAAAATAAGGGACATTGTAACCTTGAGATATCATCTGACCTACCATTGAAGAAAACTTTCCTTTCATACACAAGATACAGCTTTTTCTATGTCATTGTCTTGTTTATTTGGGGATGTTCTTCAATTCTCTTCTCAGCAAGGTTCAGCCTTCTCCACTTCATTTGAGGGACATGGAGCAATTGGTTTCCACTGCTCTATCCTCTCCTTTTCTCCCTATGTGGGAGATTATATCTGTTTTTGGGTCTTTGGTTTTATGGGATCCCTTATCTCCTTGGATTGTATTCACATATGTGGTATGCAGTAGATTCTGCATGATCAATGGAACTTCTCATGGGATCTCTTGTTCTCCCTCATTCATCTTCCTCTTTCTCTACACACTAATTTCACTTGATGTCTCAACAGAACCACTATCACAGAAGGTGTTTCTTTTCATCCTTTTCATCTGGTTCTCCATCTTTTTACAGATGATGAGATGGGGTACTTGGTCTCACCCTCTCTCTTTCTATGCCAATGACCTTTTCTTCTGGGTTCATTCCCAACAAGTATGACTGATGGCTTCATGTACTGGATGTCCTGAATCTAGTTGTAGATCATCTCTTGAGAAACAACAAACTTTCTCCTATGGAGTGGTCCCTCAATCCTTAGGTTTTGCAGTGGCTTTTTTCTCATTGATGCCTTTGACATGTATCACAATGCCAAACTTCCCCTTTTCTGGTCTCCTGTTCTGCATCCGTTAGTTCTGACTGGATACATTCCATCAGGAATGGTCTAAACTCTTTCTTTCTGCTTACTCCCCTATTCACCTCCTCCCTCATGTTCTCTCCTTCATATAGGACACCCCTTGTTGGGTTCTTCTTGTGGTTCCATTTTGGATATCTCCTCTTTTGAGCCTTCTACAGTCCTTTCCTCCTCTTCCTTTATCTCATACTCTTCTCCTTCAGTCTCATTCCTCTTTCTTCCATCCAGCTGTGTCATCACTTTGACTTCATGTGGGAGATTTGTCCAGTCCCTTGCAAAACATTCAGGACTATCTTTGCATGTAGCCTTCCTTTCATTGTTCAGTCTGGCATATAGACAACTCTTCACACTTTTGTTGCACATTATCCTCATCATCTAGCCATTTCTTTTTCATCAGGCTGCCTCTGGTCACCATTCTACACACTTCTTACTGGCTGTGACCGGTTTAGTTCTTTTTCTCCTATCTTCCCAGGGTCCTCCATGCCTCACTGGCTCCTGCTCAGTGACAAATGGTGCCTGCCAGGGTGTACTTATCCAAAATTTGTACAGTGTAAGGCTATCAAGGCCTGAAATAGTGCTTGTTTATGAAATGAAGTGTTCCACAAGACTGTTAGAGGTATCTTTGTGGTGCTCATTCTCTTAAACAATACCTGACCCAGGTCATACCCACTGATGTACTATCATGAGTAAAGCAGGCAGGGGATTCCTGCCTCTTCTTCATACCTATTTTAAAACTCAGAGCTGGCCTACATTAAAAAAAAAGGGTTTTTCATGGTCACCTGTTGCACTTTTTTATGATACTGTGCTCCTTGGGGCTCCCTAATGTGCTTTCACTCCCCATTTTCTGCTAGTGAAGCACAGGAATTCTTACAGCTCACCAATTTATAGCCACAGCGGTGATGGACCATGGAGGATTCCTTCCAAGTGTGACCAATTTCACTCATTAGAGTGTAGAGCAGTGGTGTTCTGTTGATGTAGTACAGTTCACCCATCTGGGTGGTCTGGTGTTTGTTTGGTGCAAGATTAGCCAACTTATGTCTTCACTCAATTGCAGTTTGGATTATATATTCCCATTTTGCTTCACTGGACATGAATTGAAGAGAGAACAGACCCTTCTCCTACCCTGGACCAAATGATTATTTCCAATGCTGCATGGTTTTGGACTAGAGTTGACCCATCAAGTACAGTCTGATATGCTCTAGCCACACTACACAAATAGTGGTAGAACAAGGTGCAATCTCCCATGGGTATTCCCATTTACTGTTCCATGGTAAAGGGTGTCACACTCATGGGTTCCCTTTGGGTGGATCCCGAAGGTGATTCATCTAGGTAAAGTTTGCACCAGTAAATCCGCCACTTTAATGTGAATTTCTAACTATATGTGAGCAAAGGCTACATATCATCTCAGAAGTTGGAATTTTTCTGCACTGCAAATGTATTTCCGAAAGATGCTTATTTGCATGCAACAGTACAGCAATATCACATGTAAAAACAATCTCAAGGCTAGTGGTGAGTTAAAGCATTTGCTTATAGAGGGCAATACTGAATCAGGAAAGCTATATGTGAGAGGAGGTTTTTGTCAGAAATACATTTTGAGTGTAGGAAAATGTTAACCTCCTTTTCTTCTTTTTGGGCATGTATCTTTGTTGTAATTTTTTTCTTTCTAACTTTCCAGTGATATTTTGTTCATTAAATTGATGTTTCTCTATCTCATCTTTCATCTCACTTGTTCTGGCAATATCTTGTTCAATAAAGTGCAATTTCTGTATCTTTCATCATTGACACAGAAATTATTTTTGACCTTTATTCATGGCCTTGCCATCTTAGTTTTTTTTTTTGTCTGAGAGTTTCTTTGGTAACAACAACCAGAATTACATTGGAAGGTCTTCAAGTTGAAAATCTGAAATCCTGTACACATCTTCACTTTGAGTTGTATCTCTCTTTACTTATATCATTAATTGTTTTTTCAATAACTACCCCTTTTTTTCCTGACACTTTATCAACAGTTATGTTTATAAAGCAAAATGCTATTTAATTGATTTGTACAAGGTTTATTTTATTGGACACATCATTTTTTTATATGAATTAGGTTCTTGTGGATGGATATATGATTTTAAATGGGAAAAATACTATGGCTAATGCTGTTTTATAGAAGTTTGAAAGGCACATCATTAATTACATTAGCTTGTCACATCGATGAGAGTTAGCACATCATACAAATATTCCCCATTAAACAAGGGAGAATAGCTAATAGTTTTGATGGATATAAGTATTCATTTTAATATGTTTTGAAATAAAATTTGAATTTGTAAAAGGATAATTATATCTTAGGTTCTCTCTCCTTTTTGGTAATTGTTTTCATTTCTGTAATTGAGGATGTTTTTATAATTTTTCTTCATTGGAGTCTTTTTTTTTATTCCAGATGTATCAAAGAATAGCTATTTACTTGACTGAATTAGGTGAGTTTGTATGTTAGTAGCCTAAGCAATATATATTGGATTGAATACTTCATATTAATAAAAACTACTCACTCCTCCTGAAGATTTTTTTATTTTATAAAGTTTTTAACTGTACACTGTCTTCAGTGTAATGTTGCAAGTACAACCTAAGTTCTTCTGTTTTGATACCAGACATTTTAAATTCCATCAAAAAAAAGTAGTAGTGATTTATGACAGCAAACAGTGTAATGGTGGATATTTTTGAAATGGTGATAAGCTTTGTCCCAACCACTATTATAAGTATATTTACTTAAAATACTGGCAATACATTTTGTAGAAATTACAGGTTCTGCTAATTCAGAGTTATTTACATAAAATAGATATGAACACAGAGACAGTATTTATACTACAAAAACTTCTCTTAAAATCACAACAAACAATATTATCACTGGGTGGAGGATACTGTAAAAAATACTTGGTGAAAATAATTTGACATCTATTCCACATAATAATAACTAGTTAATGAGTTGACTGTGAAATAGGCAGCAACTGCCTATTAGAGAAATACTTGTAGAAGTATATTGTTGACTGTACAATCTGAAAGTCTTCTGACTTTCAAAATGTCATCCTTTACATTTGAGCTGCATAAATATTAGGTCATCAAGAAATTAATGTCGCTTTTTTTTGATGAAAAACCTAAACAACTCATATATCAAAACAAAAAATTTATTAAATGAAATAGTCTCTATTCTTATGATGCATTTCTATCTTACAATCACATTGTTAATGCTGTGATTAAAGAAATCACTTGGCTTTGAAGCAAAAAACATGTTGTTGTTCTCTTTAACGCCTTCCACATTTGTATACGTTTTCCCATTAAGGTGGTGTTGCAGTGAACGAAAAAGATGGTAATCTGATGGTGCCATATCTGAAGAATATGGTGGGTGGGGGAGAACTTCCCAACCCAACTCCATAATCTTGAGTTGCTTCAAACGTGCCATCACAGCTTTTAAGGCTAAAGTCACATGAACGAAATTTGCTGAATCATTGTTGACACTTACGAACATTCAAAACATTTCTATAAACTTTTTGATATTCTTTATGGCTACAGAGGCATTGTTTCCCTTCTTGTGTTCAAACAGCATTACATGCCGAATGTGTGTCTCGTTGTGTGCCATAACTATAAGGGATTAGAGTATAATAAACTTTACACATTATATAGGCTACACTAACATGATATTTAGGCAGTTCGTTTAACTATAATATATATTGTACATTTATTGGGGGGTGGTTAATGAAAGTGTTCCAAAACGTGACATTAATTTCTTGATGACCTAATAGATTGTATAGTCATCAATATATTTCTACAAGTGTTTCTCTAATGGGCATTTACCACCCATTTCACAGTCAACTCAGTATGAATTCTCTGTTGGTTAGTTTACTTCTTTTATAATGTATACTACAGGCTACATTTACTTTAACACAAGTTGTAGGCCTATGTTCACAAACAACATTTTCATTTCCAAAATAATCTGTGATACTAATGTTACCTACTTCTAATTAATAAATGTATAATTTGCTTAAAGAATTTCTTTGCAAAATTTCAAATTGATTTTGAAGAAGAAAAATTTAAGTTGTGCTTGTAACATTGCACTGAAGATGGTGTACAGTTAAAAACTTTGTAAAATAGAAATTTCTTTTGGAGAACTGAGTAGATTTTTTATCAGTATGAAATATTGAATTTCAGTTGAGTAACTGAATAGATGCAATAACTCCCTCCATCTAACACTGAACTGAAACACTCAATGAATACTGGTTGAATCTTCACACATTGATTACTTGTATTTTTAATGTACTCTCAAATTTCTCCAAATTCTACAAAATTTCTATATCTTAACATTGTCATGAATTTTTTAGGTATTGTAAATTACTGCATTGAAAATATAGCTTACAACAATAATATAAACACACAAGTAACTCATTTACAAAAATGAGTATTCTTATGGAAGAAGGCTCATTCATTAATTAAGTTCAGACACTTCTCATTTAACAGTATCTTTTAACAGTCTTAATTTTATTTTAGATGTGATATAACTTTTAAAAGTAACTTCCTTAAGAATCAAGCCATGTTCTGTGGTCAAATGGGAGGAGTAATTTTTAGATTAGGCTAGTGCAGAGGTTCTAGCAATGACTTTTAGACTGTAATAGACAAACTACATTATGGAAACAAGTTTAGGCTTTGTCTCACTGTCATAACAAAATAACTTATTTGCACTTGTTAGCAGGTTACATATTGTTGACTTGAAGAATGTGTATGTGAAGACTAATTACAGAGTTAATTGATGTGGAGAAAAAGAATGTTATATATGTAGATAAACAAATACACATTAAAAAGTAACATTCCAACTGTTTATTAGCAACAGTCTCAGTATAATATATGTTTTCTAATGACTATAAAGTCTGTCTACTTATTATTGTAGTCTTCAATTCATCTTACTGGAGAATAAAATCTGTTCCTTATTCACATTTCTAAGGACTATCTTCAGCTGAGCCACTTTTGGGCTTGAACTAAGGCTACCTAATTAACTTAGCCAAGCAACTTTATATTCTTTCTCACGGAGTCTTCACTATTGATATTGTAGACAGATAGTTTTAATTAAATCAAGCCTAATTCAGCTCTTAAAGTGTGACACTTTTTTCTGCAGGAGTTCTGTTTGATAGCCTTGGTAATGAATTATTGTAATATAGTGCAATTTTTACTGCATAGCTCTTTGCATAGTACATAAATGTCATTATTCTTCTATTCTCTCTACATGCTTTCCCTTGTCCATCAAATGAGTACAAATGACTTCTGAGGACCCATTTCAGCAAGTCAGAGGTATAGTATTCCATGGGAGATGTCTCTGATTGACATAGCATAAGTAAACGCATGTGTTTACATGGATGTGTGACTGTTGCTTCATTTTAATGAAGTCATACCTTATTGACAACCAACTTGTGTTTCTTTATAGTATAGTGGTGTCAGAATGTTAGCCTGTTAGTATATGCAGCTCATTTTGTCATTTTTTTTTCAATTCTTTGAATGTAGTCTTTACTATGTGTTATGCAACCATAATAAATCCCTTGGAAAACTTTTGAAACATGCTCTGTCCCATATTTAAAATGTTGTATCACCAGCATGATAATCATAGGTTATCCAGACTTTGTTTCAGAGACATTTGAGTAAACATGTTTCATCCAATGTGAATATGTATTTAATTTGTCACAGTCCAGATACCGCTTATATGTGTACTCACATGACTTGACATTTCTTTTAGTTTATTATTGCCAACTATTACTTTCTCTGGATTTATTTAGCTATAACAAGTTTCATTACTACTATATTATTTTCATTTATGTTTGAAATTTTTATGGGCTGCTAGTGCTATGTCTTCTTCAGGCACATTACTCATATAGCTATTTATATCTGCATGATTTGTCCACTTCAACTTTTTCAATTAAATATTTTCGTTTTGCTTTAAGTTCTTTACTTTAACTTCAAGAAAAAAATCAGGTGTCTCACAGGTACATGCTTTAATTGCCTGTCCTTTGTGGATGCTCTGTTATGTTCTAGTGTAGTCATCAGAGATGTCCTTATCATTATGCATTTGTCTAGATATGTTTGTTTAAAATTTGGTGCTTTATTTTCAGCTACATGTTTTGTGCCTCTATAATTTTTGTAAAACTATGCTTAATATTCTTTCTTTCCTTATTAATACTAGCTCTCTTTTTCTTATACCATACAACTAAAATTTACTACCATTTTGACTTTTCGTTTTTAGTGCTGCTGTAGTTGAAATTCTGATTTTAAGCCTTACTGTTTTGCTAACTAAACATGGATTCATATACTGATTCATGTATTTGGATGCATAGCAGTATTGGGTTTAACAAATCACAATTCTTTTAGATTAGCACAAGAAACTGAAATTACTACTACTATTAATCTTTGATATCTCTCATCCAACTAATGAGCTGGTGCTGAATAATTATGTTACCTGATCTTTTTACATGGTTTGGTGTATGAAATAAATGGCTTTTAGTATGTTTATCTAATTGTCATTGACACTAATTAAAAGCCAGCAACCTAGTAGTCCTTGTATGGACCAGTGTACATTTGATTTCTTGATCATGCTTTTATATTTGTATGCATGCATTATAATTTATACTCACAAACCACTGCAAGAAATTCAGTGTCTAAAACTTCTGATAGGAAGTGAATAAGAAGGACATATAATGTTCTGGGATCACTGGGTTTAATTTGAATACTAATTGTGATTTTCATGTAAATATAATTAACAGGCAAAATATAGAAATAAAGTTTTTCAGGTTATTTTTAGAAAGAAGTGAGTGGGATAGGGTGTGCTTGAAATATACTGACATGTTACAGTATATAATTAAGAAGATGCTTATGTTATTTGTATGTTGTACAGGAAATATTTCTAAAAAATTAGAAATTATTGTACAAAATTTATCAGAATGTTTAAGTTACACATTAGAGCAGATGTTAATGGATTTTATTTCTTGTATAATTTACTCAAGTAATTTTAATTGTAATGAATCTGCATTGCATACATGAAAGTTATGTTGAATTCTTATTGCAAGTAAGTTATGATTTTGAAAATATTTGTTTATATAATGCCATATTGTAGACATTATCTAACACCTGATGAACATTATTGTTTAACCTGAATGGATAAAACATAATTGTTTCAAATTTTCTAGAAATGTATCGAACACAGACAGAATACAACAACAGCTTAACTTTTAAGATGTTCCTGTTACAATTTGTCAACTATTACTCTTCCATTTTTTATATAGCATTTTTCAAAGGAAGGCAAGTAATTTTAATATTTCATATTTGAGAATTTTCAGTTTTTAAATCATATTTTCTAGTAAACTGATACCTATAAGAAATATTGAAACTGTATGAGAACATATTTGTTTAATGAAATTAGATGAGTGTTTTCCTAAATGGGCACAAAAAACAATGAAATACATATAGTTGATAACAACAAAATAAAAAAAAATTGTTAATAATTTTATGTAGTTTTATTTAGTCCATATTGAACAAATAAAATAAATCTGTAGAGATGAGCTGAAAAAAAAAGTTATGCATATTAGCACAACAGGTTCTATGTTAATTGTGTGTAAAATGCACCATTAAAAAGGGAAGGTGATTGTAGAGACTTTATCCATTCATAACACCTAGACATTGATATAATAGTAAAAAATTGTTTTTCTAGGGCATCAGCAAGATTCATTGTTTTTGTTATGATCAAAGAAGGCTTTAATATCAAAATATGTAACAACCAATTAGAACATTTGTGCTTTCTGTACAATATTGATTTTATTTTTTAATAACATCAGTTTTATAATTTATAGTCTTTAGATGAATATTAAACTCTTTGGATTGGCATAATAAATTTTGAATAATCCTTATGTTACCAGTTTTACCTATAAAACTAAAAGTTAAAGAGTCTGTAAGCATTAAGTGGTAAAGGGGTAAGCCTTAATATTTCCTATGATACATTGCTTAGTCACCAATAAAAAAATATCGGAAAATTCAATATAAAAATTTTCACCTTTTATTTTCTTAGTGTATATGATTAAGATATTCAGTCTTTTAAATAATTGAGACTACCCATATCATTTGCAGGAAATACTTTCTATTACGGTCACATTTTGACCATACTTTAGCAGACTGCCAATGGCAGCAGTAGGAGGTCAAAACATTGAAATACAAAGGTATTTCCTGTCAGTGAAATGAGCATTCTCATTAATTAAAAGTTAATTTCTCTGGACTATGAAAAGTAAGTTATATTCAGTGATAGTTTTGGTTGTTTTATGGAACTTGATCAGTAATCACTTTAGTGGCAGTCAGTAATATGGCAAGAATAAGAATTTACACAGATGGGTTATTTGTGAGTTTTTCCAATCAAGATAAATGCACGAATCATTTGTAAAAAAAATAAAACAGTGTCTAAAATATAACCAAAATTGTCAATAGAAAGAATGAAGAGTGAGTCATAACAGAAAAAATTGTTGGAAAAAAAAAACAGGTTAATTATGAATGTTTTTTTTTCCCACATTCCTCTTAATTTGCTATTTGTGGCTCAAAATTGGAAGTGGAGAAAGTAGTATTTCATATACATATCTTTTGTCTCCCACAAATAAATTTGAAATCTTATTTTTTACACACACACTCTAATTTGAAACTGCAATTGGACAAATTAAGAGGAATGTGGAAAAAAAATCTCAAGTTAAATTATTTCTGTAACAATTATACTGGACAACAAAAATTTGCTACTGGAGAAAACTCGAGTGATTTTTGGGTAATTTGATGGTGCTTATATCAAAAATGTAGCCAGAATTTGTCCATCACTTCTAGACTTTTAGTTATTGTAATATCTCAATATTTTATCAGCTCTAGGTGAAATACCTTGCAATTGACTCAGTACAATAGATTTATGCTGTGAAATTAGATTTATTTGGACAGTTTAATAGGTAAAAGGCACACATTATTTATAATTTCAAATACTGAATGGATTGTATTGGTGTAAAATTTCAAATATATTGTTCGTATATGCTATTTGTTATCAATATAATTCTAGTGAATTGCAACACTTTTGATTCATTACCACACTCATCTACTCTGCCCAGGAATCACGAAACCCTCACATGCTCATTTTTGCTAGAACATTCAAGAAGTCCCTCGACTGATCATAAAAGGGGTGGAGACAGATGTCTCTCTCTCAGTTGCCTCTGAGTCACTTTGCCTCTCTTTGCACACAGTCAAAACAAAGTTCAGTCTTCTTCCTCACATCATACCTGCAATATAATCAGATTCTGAAAAAACGTATTTTTTAAAATCTTTTAAACTCTTGTTCTGTAAACATAAATTATTTTATATTTGGGTCTAAAATTGGTGGCCAAGAAAAACATTGGGCTCCATATGTGTGTTGTACTGTTTGCCAATCTGTGGTTGAATAAGAAGACAGCAAGTATGCCATTTGCAGTTTTCATGATATGGCATGAGCTCAAAAATCATCTAACTGACTTATTTTTGCATGACTAATGTTTCTGGATATTCAGGCAAAACTAAACAATACATTAAATATCCAGATGTTGCATCTGCAATAATACCAGTACTTCATAGGGATGGTTTTCCATTGGCACATCCACCAGCAAATTGGGAAATGGAAGAGTTATCCTACGATTAAAACAATACATTATCTTCATCCTCTTCATCTATTAATTCTATTTCTGTGGTATCTCAACTTAAACTACCTCATTTGATCACACAACAAGTTCTAAGTGATCTGATTCATGACTTGTCTCTATTAAAGCAGCCTGGGATCTTCTTGGCTCTCGTTTACAGCAGTGGAAATTATTAATTCCAGGAACAAGAGTTTCAATTTACCGAAGTCACCATCAAAGTCTTGCTTTTCACAACAGCATGCAAGATACTTTGTGTTTCTACACTAATGGAGGAATTAGGCACTGAACATCATCCTCAAGAATGGACACTTTTTATTGACTTATCTAAAGTTAGTCTGAAAGCTGTACTTTTGCATAATGGGAACACTAAGCCATCAATTCCTGTTGGTCATGTTGTGAACATGAAAGAAACTTATCAAAGCATGCATATTATACATTCCTAAATGCAATTTTCAATGAATAAATAAAGTTATTGAAGAAAAAGTTATTTTCACAATATGTAAGAACTAGCAGAGACCCGCAAAACATTTCCGGCCAAATTAGTATATTTATCGTAACAGTACTTCTTTAAATATAACGTTTCTAGCACAATACAAACGAATTGTAATCAAAGACAACGAAATGTATAAATTCACTTGTAAGTAGGCCCGTACTTTTTAAAACTTTAACTTATGTTCGATAAAGAGATAAATTAACACTGTAACCTGTGTACGTTTTTTGTTACTTTAGTTTAGTTAGGGACAAAAACTTTATTGTACTTAATATTATCGATAAATTAACTTATAATGTTATTCTATGACCTAACATCAAACCTTTATGTACAAAATGGTTAGTAAAGTATATTTACATTCCCCTTTTGTTGTTACTTCTTGTTTTATACAGCAATTGTAGTGACTTGATCACTGATCTTTGCAGCTCTCTACCGCAGGCAGACTGTTTGTCATTGAGTGAATAATGTGCATGCACAGTTTTTCTCGGAGAAACATTCTAACTACACATGCTCATGCAGCAGGTTCTCAGTCAGAAAGCGTAACGGTTGTATATATAAACAAGCAGAATAATAGTATAAATTTTTTGTATAAATCTATCATAATTCGAAAACTAGAGGTGATCAATAATTTTCAACATGATTTTTTAAGATCAGCATTGTCAAATCACTCAGAAACAGTTGCTTTTATTTCTGTTAGCCGAGAAAATTTGTTTTTCGTTGCCCTATTGGTTTTCCAATATTTCACTAGCTTTTGGCATTTAAATCAAGAACATCAAAAATAATTTTAAGTAGACTTAGAATGGCAAGTTACAACCATTGATACATTGTCAAGTTTGAGTGAACTTATTTGTAAGGAGGAATTGCTTTGGAAAGTGTTCTGATCTGTACTCTGTTGAAGAGCACTGTCAAACTGATAGTAAATCATGCAAAGTGAAGATTAAATTAGCATGCATTATTTACACTAAACATATTTTTGGAATTGGCTGTTAGGTTTGTGTAAAAAATTCTATAAATCCAGGAAATTCCCTAATCACAAGGATGAAGCCAGAAGCAGTATGCATCTGTTTTACTGATGATTTTCATAAATGTAATTGTATTCCCATCCTTTATATGAGTAAATCAGTAAATTCTGTTTGTTAGATTTTAAAAGTGTCATGGTGATTGTTTTATATTTGATCATGTTAATTTTTTTTCTAAGTGAATAAAGAAGTCTTGTTAGTTTTGAAACTAGATTTTATAAACATTTAAGGTTTATGTTTTAAGCCTGTATTGCATTCCAGAAATTTCAGTTCATGTATTGTATAATGCACTTTGTTTTTAATTTAAATAGATAATGTGATCTGACTGTTTGTCAACAAAATGATATAAAATCTTAAGGTTTATGTTTAATCTTTTATTATGTTATATATTTTATATGTTACAAAAACTTCTAAGTACTTTCTGCAGTACTTCTTAGATTTACAGGTGTCCTGCTTGCTGCATTTTTGTTTTGATGGTTTTAAATTTTGATATTTTAGGTTTTTAAAAAATCCTGGACCTAACAATGAATTTTTTGGATTTCAAAAAGAAGATGTGAGTACTTTGTTTTAAGCTTAAAATATTGTTTTATTATATCAGAAATAAGATTATATAGCTATAGCTCCATAAACTAATAATCTTAAGATATATTTCTCAGTTATATAACACAGTAGTGATAATAAGTTATCATCTATGTTTATTACATTCACATTGTTGTAAGTTATAAAAATTTGGAAAATAATTCATGTTTCAACAATAGAATCCTAACATTTTATCCAACATATAACATTTTCTTACAGAAAATTCAGAAAAAACTTTTAGAATTAATGGATATTTTATGTTGACAAAGCAGCTCAGTTTTTGTTATGTTAGGTTTAATCAGAAGAATGATAGAATAAGTGAAAAGTTCCTACAGTAAGTGTTGAGTATTCAGTAACTAAAAGGAAATCTCCAATAAAGACGAAGTATTTGGTTAGAGTTTTTGTGATATGTTTATAACTAAGATAAGAAGCTTTATTAACTGTCTCCCCTATTACAGTTAAGTTGCCATGTATATAACTACAAATAGCTGTATGTTGATTGTAAATTACAAAAGGTCTGTAGTTTGATATCTTATTTATGGTTAAATATTTATTGAAGGTACAATTGGAAAAAGCATCCTTACTTTAACAAAATGAAAGGAAACATGTTGCAAAATTCAAACGTGTAAATTTTCAGAAACAAAGTAAATACTTGCTAACCTGTAAAGATATTTTTTAAGTTAAAGCTTGTGAAAATTTTAGTACATGTTGTGTAGTTTATTTATTGTTGCCATGTGAAATGTGAAATTGAGGCTTGATAAATGCTAAGTTTCAACTTGGATTATTCATTAGAAACTTGTATTATAATATCAAGAAAATTAAAATTTCATATCTTTTCAGTCATATAAGGTACTTCTCTGTAACTTTTATGGTAGTTTTAATTTATCCTCTTAAAACTTGCATTTTCATTTAATATCTTAAGATAAAATACTTCTTAACTTTTATTATTTATTTTAAATATTGTTTTAAATGTTTTGGAAGATTTTCATGATTATTTCTGTTCTGGATTCCAGATAGATTGGATATTATTTTGTCTCCTACAGTCACATTTTACATTATGTGAGTTTTATTAGCAATGTAACATCCTCATTTTAAGTTGACTTTCTTCTATATGTAAACTTATGTGCTTCATAAGTACATATTTGTGAAATTAACAGTTTTAATGTTTTGTTAAAGATTTACATATTTTTAACATACAAAGGACAACAGTATTACCATTTTCTTTTGTGTTCCAATACTCGTTTTTCAGTAACTATTTAGATAATCCTTTTATTTAAGTAATTATTATAAATGTGCAATAACTTTAACACTAATGATTATAAATTTTGCATTATTTTCAATGTAAGTGTTTGTAAGTATTTGAAATATAGTGAATTGTGAATAGTTTTAAAAACATCTGTATGGAAAGGCTGATTTTTCAAAATATTTTTAATTCATTTTTTTATAGTGTGGTATTAGAGGTTGTTTCATTGAGCTTTCTTTGCAATTGATCATTATTATGGTGGGAAAACAGGCTGTTAATGCATTTGTTGAAATGGGAATTCCGTAAGTATGTTGTTTGATTTTTATTCATTCATAACTATTTGTCAATTGATACTACAGTGTGCTTAAACGTTTTTCAAAATAGCTGAGCCAATAGTATGCAGATACTTCATGTCTCATTTTCCTGTAATATATATTTCATATCTGCAAGTGTTATGAATTTTTTCTAAGTTTTCATCTGGAATAGATTAACTTTGGTTGTGTTCATGTGATAAATTTAGCCAGTATTAATTTTTATAGATTGTTTGGTCAGTGAACTCTTATACTGTTTCATGTGATGGTCGCATTGTATTGTTTATTACCATGTACATACAGGACTACCTTGTGTCTGTTGCATGGAGCAGAGATATTTCTGCATCCTATTAACTGTTTTCTGATTGGTCAGGTACAGAGAGAATGTATATTGTGAATACAGTTTTGGTGCTTTTGTACCTGAGCTGTTTTGACTTTTGTGGAAGCAGGATTTGTGTCTGACAAGACCTGTTAGTGAAATCTCTTATGTGTCCTTGCTGCTAATCAAGTAATTACTTTCAGTTGAAAGCTGTTTAATTACTTCCATTTATTTACATCTTCATTTGCAGTTGTCTTACTATTTGATGAATAGTTTGTTACTTTCACTTCATCTTCAATAAATAAGGCTAGGTTGAGTTCTGAGGTTACCATGCAGAGATTATACACATTGTGTATAATATGTTGCTAGATAATGTTTTTTCCCAAATAAATACCATACTACAGCTTCCTACAGAAAGAAACAACCTTGATATTTGGGTATTCTGTATCAGTTGTTATTTAGATTCAGTAGAAGCTGTAACTGGTGATTAAGGTATAATACTAAACACCAAAACAGAGTTAGTTAAATCTATCATTATGATCAATCATTCAATATGGTTTTAAATACATTCAGTGTGTTATTTAAGTAGCCTATATATAACAAAAAATATAATTTTTTTATTGTGCAGTTGATATAGATGTAGAAATGAAATTTCAGCTAAATTTTGTTTAATGTTTCTTAGATGGCTGTTCTGGGTTCATAAGAGGTGGAAAATGCGTAAGAAAGAAAAATATATGAAGAGAAAGCAAGCTGTAGTACAGTGGGAAAATGACTATAGTTTAGCAGCATGGAGACCAAATGGACTTTTCTATGAATATCTTGAAATGGGTAAGTGAACTGTTTTTTACATGATATTCTGAATGTATGACTTTTTAATTGTTTTAGGGATCAAGGTGCTTCACATCTGATTATCACTTGTTTCATTGCCAAGAGAATAATATTTACTAGTTTATAAGTGTGATATCCAGATATCACATTGCCCAAAATTTTTACTAGAGTTCCAGTTCAGAACCTAATAAATCCTATCTAATTACATCAACTGTGAAATTCGCCTTAAGTCTAGGATGGTATATATTGTCTTATAGCCAACACACCTGTATGTGAAGCTGGCTGTCACATGGGGTTCAAAATATTGCCGAAATCATAGAAATTTGTGTGTTTTGTCAATTGTAGAGAGAGAGTGTTATTCTGAGAGCGATTTGATTTCATTTGGAAGTTTTATTTCAACTCGGAAGGAGTCAAAACATAATGTGAAATTATGTCAGCATTTTTGTCTGTTAGGAGTAGTGTTTTAAATGCTGTCTGTGTGCATGTAATTAATGACTTTCAACTAACAATTCAGAATCATTTCAGCTTGATACATTTTCTTTCACATTTTTTTTGTGGTATATAAAGATGAAATTGAATTAAGTTTAGAACTATATTGGATTGGTCTACTAGATAACAAGAGATTTATTCAAAATATCTATTATGTTGTAGTACTAAATCTGTTACTAATTAATGTAAAATAAAGAAACAAGACTGGACACAAAGTGAAATACAAAATAAACAGTCTTTATTAAATACTAAATACAAGCACAGTGTTTGTACCTGTTTTAAAATTCTGTTGCTGTGGCTGGATACTCTCAGCAAGCTACTTTTCCAGATCCTCTTCTACACTATACTGATCAAATACAATATACCTTAGCATGCAAGAAATCTTGCATTTACCAAAAGTGATTTGGCATATTCATATGACTAGTAATTCTCAGTACAACTTAGCTAATCCCATAACCTCTAGATATCACCTGAACAACTATTTAAGGACACTGTTGTTGACATTCTTACACTGTTTGTCATATTGAGCAATATCCTCCCCAGGCAGTAACAGGTATTAATCATTTCCAAGAAGAACAAAGGTAACTTAGAACAAAATCAACTTAACAGCTTTCTTGATTACTTATTATGTGAATCCTGCACATATACAGGACAAAGGTTAAATACTATAATATTACAAGAAGATAGAAATTCATGGTATATTCAAATACCACATTGTTACAGTTTCATGTCAAATAAATGCATTTGATTTTGCTTCTTTTCTTTGTTTATTTTCATTGAAATTTCAAACAGTTTCTCTAGCTTCAGCAATTTCTGCTACTTGTTATGATCAGTTTTTGCTAGTTTGTCTTCACGATGTGGTTTTTTTTGCAATTATTTGACTGGTGAGAAACCACCACACTTTTGCTTCTATATACTAGGTCCTTGAATCCGTGGTTATTGAGAAGGTTTGGTGATTGTATGCTACTTTTATTATAAATCTTGGAATATCACATTTATAGGGACCCATATCGACAACCTATCGTGAACTTCAAGGTTCCGAAATAAATTTGTTTTGTGCATGAAAAATCTGACCTCTGATCACCATATTCAGTTCAATTGTAAACAACTGTATATGTAAAACTGAGCTTCTAATTCATTTAAAATAATAACATTTTACAATTAATTCACTGATAAAGTGGTTTTTAATCATTACTTCTTGTTTCTTGTATTTAGAGTTTTTAAAAAAGATTATGAACAAACTAGTTAAGAATACAAATAAGTCATAAAATTAAGCAAAGATAAAATTGACTGAAATAAATGTATTAAATAACCATTATAATATCATAACACCATCAAATATTGCTTTTGGTTATCTTAAGAGGTTAAGTTCTCAAAAAAAAAATTATTGGCAGTTTTCTTCCGTTTTTGATATTTCTCTTTGGGTTTGGCTTGACCCTGGTGATGGCAAGCAAAGCCACAAAATATTCCCTGGATTTTAAACTGTAGGTTTATTATAAGAATGACATTCAATCTCATGGCATGGATTGTGGGTGGTAGGGTACTGCTGACAGGCTGCTTTCCTCTGGTCATTGGTTCAAAATAAGGGATGGTAGCAGACAGCTTGTTTAAGTGACAAGACTTTTTATATTTTTTCTCTTAAATTTGTTTTACTTATCACCTGTTTTTTTTAAGTACTTCACTTATTTTAGTATTTTTCAAGTATTAGCGTATTTTGACAGTTAGTGAATATTTTTGTTTGGAAAAGTTTTTCTTTCTACGGAAACCACTTCCAAAACATATTTGAGATCATCAAGTATGCAAATGAAAATGTTTTAAAACACAAAGTGCAGTTTCATCATTTGCTGTTCATCTTATGATAATTTCCGTTATTCGTATATTAACATGGTTATTATTTTTTTATATTTCTATTTATATATTTATGCAGTGTTGCAGTTTGGATTTGTCACCATTTTTATAGCAGCATTCCCGCTTGCACCTCTTTTTGCTCTGGTAAATAACATGCTGGAAATCAGGCTTGATGCCAAGAAGTTTATTACTTGCTATAGAAGGTCTGTGGGACAGAGGGTTAAAAACATTGGTAAGTTTATCCAATAAGAATTTGGCAACATTGTATTCTGATGATGTGTGAAAATTTGCAATAAAGTAATACAGTTTTCTTGTTTTTTAGTTATAGCTGAAGTAGCTACTAATTTCATCTTTCTTTAAAAATTATAGAACATACCTTTAATCAGGTATATTCATATAATTTTTCTAAATTTTTGTGCAGGTGTTCTTCATGTAGTTATGACATTCTTGTTAATTAGACATAAAAAAAAAACATAAAAAAGGTGTAAGAAATTACACATGGTGGTTGTTGAAAGATAAAGAAGAAGTATGTTGTAGGTTAAACCACCGAAGACAACAAGGTGTTAAATACAAATATGTATATATATATTTTATAAAATATATTTTTGTAGATACAACATTTTGGACAATGCCCTTCATCAGGTATCTCTAGCTGAACAGTAAAACTGTAAACAAAAAGTTCTAAATCGAAGGTTGCATGATACTATAGCAAATGAACGTGTCTTACAATGTTTATAAATGCTGGGAAAAATATGAGTGAATTACATGTATACATATACTTACATACATATATATATGTACACACAAATAAACTGAGAACTTGGTAAAAGTAAAAAAAGGAGTAGTTGACACAAGCCATAAGAAAACATCTACGAAAAAAAAAAAGGATTAGATAAATACATAATGTACTGTATAATAGTTGTAAGAGAAGTTAAAACTAAAGGATAGAAACGTTACAAAAGGCTAAAACGTTCATTTATCCCATTGGATGGATAGTTCCCAGGTCAAAATTGATTTTGTTTTCTTGTAGTTCACATTTGTATTTGTTTGTAGAAGCATCCTTCAAAACAAGTATTTTAAAATGTTCAAGGGTTTGGTTTGGCAAATTAAAGTGTCGAGCTGCTGGTTTATTTGTGTTAAAATTTATTATGTTTCCGAGATGTTCTTGGATCCTTTCTGCTAATAATCTACTGGTTTAATAATGTATAATTTTCTATAACAAGTGCATACATTGGAATATATGATGCATTTTGATGTGTAGTTATATTAATGTAAAACTCAATTTAGAATCCTGCACAGATGTTCTTGGGTCAGTGTAAGCACATGTGTTGCAGCATCATTTATTACAAGGATAGCTCTATAGTAATATTTGTGAGTTTTTGAAGGCTGCTATGAACTAGGTAGCTTCCAATATTAGTATTGTGACAGTAGGAAACTGTTAAATGACTTTAACCTGTTTGTTGTTTATGTGGTAAGTGAGGATAAGAGGTGGTCTGATACAGGAGAGTTTAGAGTTTGTGTTCATGAGAGATGAAGGGGAGTTGTGGTCTTGATTTACAACAGAGTTGCAAGCTCCTTTTAGGAGATGTTGAGGGTAGCCACGATCATGGAAAATTGATTCCAATTCTATTGAGTGGACATTGAAATCATCAGGTTCACTACACAATATCTGTAGCACAAGGAACTGGGATTTTGGGATGTCCTTTTTCATGTGTATAGGATGGTTAGAATTGAAATGTAAATAGTTGTGGGCATTTGTGAGTTTATAATGAACACTGATTGTGATTTTGTCAGAAGAATATCCAGAAATGGTAGTGATTAAATGAAAATATTATGTGTATAGGCTAGTGAAGGATGGAAGTTACTTATGTGATGAAGAAATGTTTCTAGTTCAGACAATTTGCGTGTGAAGATTTCAACAATGTCATTGATATACCTCTTGTAAAGGAGAAGTAAGAGACTATCATACTGTGTAAACATAAGTTCGTTGATATATCCCACAAAAAGATTTACAGAATTTGGACCAATTTTAGTTCCTGCTTGTAGAATTCATTGTTAACACAGAACCCTCTGCATTTTAAAACTAATCCTGCTAGATGGAGTAAAGTGTTGGTAGGGAGGTGAAGTTCAAGGCATTTGTCAAAAAAATGTCTGAAGGCTATTAAACCCTCCTGTTGCAATATTACGGTATATAATGAATTGATGTCCATTGTAAATAAAAAGACCGAGTCTGGTTTTGGGTTAAAAGTAACTGTGTTGAAGAGTTTAAGGGCATGATAAGTATCCTTAATATAAATAAGAAATGAGTGAATGATGGGAGCCATTATGGAATTCAAATAACTGGATAAGTTCAGTTGGTGCATTGCAGGTAAATACAGAGGGTCTACCAGGATTGTTAGGTTTATGAATTTTAGGCACTAAATAGAAAACACTTATTCTAGAGTTAGAAATGAGTAGTATCAAAATTTTAGCAGACGTGGGTAGTTCCTCAGCATCAATTAATTCATTGTCAGTGTTGATAATGGCTTCATGATATTTCGATAGCAGATCATCTCAAAGCAGTTTGTATGATAATAAGTCACTCAGGTGACGTGACACTTCTTGGAGGTAAAAATCCTTATGCCATATGACCACAGTTCCTCCATTATCCAATGGTTTGATAACAATATTATCTCGAGAACAAATGTTTTTTAATGCTTGATGTTCTTCATAGGTGAGGCTGTTTTTAGAGTTTAGTGCTTTGTAGTCATGTTTGTTGATCTTAGTATAACATTTATCTATATAATAATCAAGTAGTGCTGGGAGTGTGTTTTAAGTTATAAAAGGGGTCTTTGGTTGTACTGGTTTGTGTGGTTACACTATTTAAGTTGGTGCTATTTATATCAGGTTCTGTATGACAATTTTTGTTGGTTACATTTATATTGTTGGTATGAAGATAAGTGTGGATCTTTAAGTGCCAAAAAATAGATTGCAATCTTGTTTTGAGTGAAATTCATTCATTCTTGGTTGAATGTGGACAAAGCTAAGTCCCTAGCTTATTCAGCACGGATCTTTCTGCATTTGTTAAAGTAAGGTCAGGTGGAATAGTTATGATGTTAGTTTTAGTCAGTGTCTTTCTCTCCGTGGAATGATTTAACGTGTTATCCTCTATTAAGGATGGCTGCAAATTGTTTGAATGCACAATTCTGAGATTTAGAAAATTTTGCCTTTTTTATCACATAGGGCAGAATAATAGGTAGAATTAAGTTTTTTACAGTAGTATGCACTTGTCTTGCGGTAGTAATATCTGTCAGTTCATACAGTCTCTGATGGTAATAATGCAAGTCTTCAGAGTTTCTATCACTGTTGAACAAAAGGGATTTAAGAGTATCTTTCACAAGGCCAACTGATGTTTTATATAGCCTGTGGTTAACAGTCAGAAAATATTTACGGTCTTCAGCATTTTGTGGAGTGTGAAACGTTAGTTTGAATCCATTACTAATATATATATATATATTTGTATTTAACTTCTTGTTGTCTTCGGTGATTTAACCTACAACATACTTCTTTTTTATAACAAAAAACATAGATGTGCTACTCCTTTTATGCAGGTAACTGTTACATACAACTACTTAAATCTCAAGCTAGTATGTATGTATGCATTCTTTCTATAAAGGTAGCTTATTTAAAAAAAAGGAATACAGAAACAATCAGACTGTCTTGGAATGGTTTGAATTATGTATGCAAACAAGTAGCTGAAGTATGTAACCTAATGACTTGTAGAGTATCATATTAATGATTTTGCCTGACTATAAAAGTGGAGTATGTACACAGGCTTTGGTCTCTATTGGTCTTGATGTATTCTCTGTTCTGAGCAGACATTTGAAGAGCTTCTTCACTCTAGCAGTCATTTGAAGTCATAATAGAAAGTAAGAATCTGGTCAGTTTGATGACAAACACAGATGTTTTTAGAAATAGTTTTTTCTTTTTTGTTTATTCACTTATGTTGGTTCTTTTTTGTTGTCCATGTTGGATTTATGTTTTTACATAATATTTCTTTAATTTGTATTTTGCACATAGTTGATATTCATCTTTTTCTACAGATGTACCTGAATACTACAATAGTAATGACTTGATAGAAAGAAATTAATTTGATTATTTGAACTAAAACTAAACTTAGAATCTGAAGCATATAGAAGGGTACCTGTAAAACTATTTTAAATGCCTTATGCAATGAAAGCCTCAAGCTCAAGTGTTGTGTGACTGAAAAAATTGCTAGTCATAATATATTTAATCACAATTAAAATATAACAACTAACAATGTTTGCACGTACATTTAGACCTTTATTCATAATGCAATAATACGTGCAAACAATATGATTACATATATGATAGACACAGACACACATATATATGTCTATGTAATTTATTTTAAGTAGGATTGAATTAAAGCCAACATTTTTTTTTGACAAAAATGCTCTAAACTTCTTTAAGGAGACAAAAATTTTGTAATTTTTAGGTAGCTTTAGAATGATCAATGAAGTTGAGAAATAGTTTACATAATAAGGAATCATATTGCACACACATCTACTCTTCACATTTGTTGAAAATGAATTATAATAAACACATTAGTATTACAGTGACACAAGTGTTATGGAAAATAAAATATTTGTATATCTTTCTTACTATATAATAGTTATAATAGTGATTTCAAAATGCTATAATATTTTGAAATATTAGTTCGTTCCCTTCCCTTTCACACACACCAGAGATGTGCTCGCACATACATGGCATAAGATGATGCCTTTTTTTTTGTGTGTGTTTACTCTATAGTGTACAGTTCTGCAATATGGAACAAACAGTGAATTTCAGTAAAACCCAGATGAATTCAAATTCTTTTTTAATTGGTTTACTGTTTTATAAGCATAGTTTTTTTAGTTTTAATTAGGAACATTATAAACATAGATTTCAGAACACGAATATTAACTATATATATATTCCATGTTTGTAAAATTTGCATTTCAATATCAAAAAATTTGTTATATTATTGTATTATTTGAATGTTGCTTCCCCCTGGTAGTTTGACATGTCCACCCTCCTACTACAGGGTATAGTACCACACTTGTTAAGAAACAATAATTTAGAGATTCCTACCATAAGTATAATAAAATTAACAAATATGTACCATTAAATTATTAAACTGTTTGGTCAAATAATTATATTATGATACCAGTTGTTTTATTATCATCATGCACATATCTGTATGTTTTGACAATCTAGATTCCTTGTACCACTACTGGTGGCTTGAGTGTGGAGTAGCATGGTGAAAAAATAAACTGTTTTCTGTGTATTGTTGTTATGATTAGATATTCTGTTGCAGTTGTTTTTGTAGTTAATCATTGACATAATGAGACATTTGTTGAAATTACTGGGCCTGTTCGGGAGAGGTATAGAAAGCCATCTTGCCTTCTATCAATGAAGTTCTTCATAAAAAGTATCAGGATTTGGCAAACCTTCCCTGTAAAAACCTATAAAAATATTTTTTTACATAACAAAAATAAGAGGTTTGGCCACCCCCACCCCCTCCTGCATGTGTGCATGCATTTGAAATTTCTTTTTTATATCTTGTTTTGATTTTTTTACTCTTAGAAGATTTACTTTAACAGAAAGTTTGGTTTTAATTTCCAGAGAATTCTATGAGCTGATAATGCTTGAAAGCCTCTTTTAAGTAATGGGTATTTGATTGTAGCATCAAATATAAACCTGTAAATCTGTAGAATCCAAAATAAAACATTGTAGTGAAAGTGTGTGGTTTGTGACCACTAGTGTGTGAAAAAATTGAAAGATTTATTTTTTGTAACAGATTACATTGAATTATGTATTTAAGGTTGGGTACGTTCAAGTTATTTTAAAGAAATTAAATCTGACCCAGAAACCAGTTGTGTTTGAACATACATATTTTGGTAAATTATGTATGGTGTTTTGAAATGTTTTTACTCACACAGTAATCCTATATTTATATAGGAATTTTAAGAATATGCAGCATTGATGATACTAATTTATTCTTGTAAAGACAGATTGGGCTTCACAGTTATATTTTTAGTATCTTGGTAAATTTTACATAATTTTAAGTTATAATACAGTGGATGCTAATATATCATTTTAGCCATAAGAGTGCATCATAATCAAAATGCTTAACTTATAAAAAATAAAAAAATACAGCTCACTTATGTCACATGAGTTGAAATGTTGACCATTAAGATTTGTTATAAAGTTCTAAAATTAACAAGTACATCTGTATCTGTTACAAATTAGTCTTGTATCATGGAATTTTGATAGTAATGTATAAAATACACATTTCCAAAGCATATATAACTGTTGTAAGACATTTTGGTGAAATGAAACTTTGGTAACATTCCCATTTTGTTTTTCTCTTTGACGGATGGGTATAAAATTAAACATATTTTTTATGTACTTCTAACAAACTTCCTTCTTCTCTTGGCAGGGATATGGTACCGAATTCTTGATTCAATTAGTAAATTAGCTGTTATAACAAATGTAAGTTGCTTTAGTTAACTATGTTTAAGAATTTAACTTGAAATCGTTCTTGACATCATAGACTTCAATGACAATAAATCTTCAGATTGTGCTATTAGCATGATTTTTTTACTATGTTTAAGGTGATTTTAACATATTCTTTTAAAAAACAAAATGTGTTTAAAATAGGCACATACACATACACTTACACATATTCTTAATTGTAAAATAACTCTCAAAAATAGGTTACTTGATATGTAATATTTTTTGAATGTGATATATTTGAATGGAAATATTAACTGATGACTTATTATTTCTCAGCTCTACAATACTTAAAACTACCTTCAAAATCTTATTATACAAAATTCAAAAATATATGCATTAAATCATCTAAATTGATATAACTAATTAATCAGAAAGTTTGTCCTTATGTAATATATTTATTGCAGCATGCAGTCTTATTTCAAAGGTTCAAAGTATTGATCTTTTTGTTATTGACTCAAAAATCATAGTAAACAAAGGAATAGCAAGATCAGTGATCAAAAACAAAAAACAGAGACAGTATTCAAATATTATCTCTGAAATACATTGATGAATATTGAACTTTTTACTCCAATTTCAAGTCTACAGAAACGAAATGGCAGACACACATATATATGTCCTTGCAAATAAGGACATTAATTACCACTCTAAATATAAGAAAATTTCATATAGATTATGAGTCTATTTGAATATTTTCACTTTTTACAGTATTATTTCTCAATAAAGCCAAAAAATGGAACCTACTATTGAAAATATTTATAAAATGCTAGAGTTTTCTTATCATTTACCATTGTATCAAATTCACAGTTTTAAGTGTTTCAGTTTGTGGTTAAAAGAAAAATATCTTCATACAGTATTTCATTGCATATATTAAAATATCTAAACAATATAAGTTGAGAAAGAGAGTCAAAGGTTAAGAAAGCTATGAGAGCATAGTGAGGCAAAATGATAATAACAGATGAATTTGAACTGTTTAAGAAGTTTTTTGTGTATATGGCTTTATTTTATTTTTGCTACATGTTTTTAATGCATGAAATTGAATTTAATTTTACCAGGACTTACCTTTGGGGTTGTACAGGTCACTCTGAAGTACCTTTTTATCATTATGCCTGGTTATGATATGAGAACCAGTAGAAAATCCATAAATGAGAGGGAAAAATTATTAGATACAGCACAAGGCTAAAACAAGAAGATAAAACAAAGATATAATGAAAAACAAAAAACTTTACTAGATTCAGGGATGGATGGATCAACTAATACCTGGAATTGTATTCTGATATCCAAGCCACAAATAATAATTAATTAGGTCCAGGATCAACATCAACTTGTATGAAAATAGATTAGAAAGAATTGATGATTACAAACAAGGACTAGTGAAATAAATGTAAATAATTAATGGTTGATTGGATTTGGATAATTGTACAAAGCTACACATGGGTTATCTGTTATAGCATCCATAATTTTGAACAGAAAGACTAGAGAGAAGGTAGCTAATCAACAGCGCCCATTGCTAGTTCTTGGGCTAGTCTATTCAAATAGTGGGATCTTACCATTGTTCTTATAATGTACCTATTTCTCCAAAGTGCATAAGATGATTTTGAAGGAACAGGAAACAAAACATGAGCCATCAGGTTCACATTCCAGCATGCTAACCACTAAATCAACCCCCCCCCCCCCCATTATTAAAGAAAAATACACTATTTGAAAAAAAACCCAACAGAAATAGAAAACTTTCAAATTTACATTTCAAAATTAAAGACAATACAGTGCATAGGTGTTTATGAAATAAAGAAATCTACACCAAACTGAAACAAACTTAACTGAATTAAAGTAAATCATTTCTGCCTGCAGTCAATAAAATTAAATAATTAGTGTTTCAGTATTTAAATCTAATCTTATCCCTACTGTACATGCCCCCATAACCAACCTCTTAAAGCACTAACTCTTTTTTTTTTTCTAATTTTGGTTAGGAATGCTAGCATACAAAATATTAAAAGGGGGGGGGGATGAGGATCTGCATTTATGAGATATTAAAACTTTAGTCAAAATAACTTCAATGTAAATCAAGTGATTAAAATTTCTTGATTACTATTAAACAACATTGAGCTAATGTTCTAATTAACTAGATGCATCATCTGTTTCTTAAAGTTTTTATAAATCACACAATTAAAATGTCTTGAAAATGTTGACAGGAAACAGGTTACCAAAGCTTGGTTCCTATTGGCCCCCACTTAAAGCTATTAACTTTTTCTTCATCATATTTTGTGATTAGTTGTGACAAAATCACCATTAAACATTAAGCATACAAGTGTACATACAGTATAGAGGAAATACTTGGAATTTCCTTTGATATTATGTTAAGTTGTATTTAATGTTCTTACATTTTGGCATACATTACCAGATGTTGCTCCATTCTTTAGGATTTGATTTTCTTACTCATTTCTAAACATTAAGCATTCAGAGTGTTAAGATATTAAACAGTCATCTGTGTCAAGTCAATTCATGACTACAATGGAATATTAATTCAAAAAGTTAGTGAAATTTCACACATAAAAATGTTAATGCTATAAATGTACCTCCAGATATCTTAATGTTGAGAAGAAAATTGTATGTAATGAAGATATATTGCATTTAACAAAAATAAAATTGCATAAGTACCTTTAAATGGTCAAGGATATTGTGATATCTTTAGTAACATTAAAATACATTTGATTTTATATACATAATATCATATAAAACCTAAAATAATAATTTTATCTTCAGCACCTTAAAATTTCTTTGAAAGTGAATTTGCTGAATAAGTGGGGGGTTTTATTCAGTGAATTAATATTTTGAGCAATCACAAATGTCTAGATGCAAAATATTCCTGTTAATATAAAATACATTCACTAGGTAAAAAGCATATCATAGGATACTACTTTAAACTGATTCATGTGTCATGGCATAATGAAGGCTACATTTACATCATTTGTGTGTTGTTGATTGATCAACCAGATGCAGATATGATATATATTTATGTGTTTTAAACTACAGTTTTTATATACTGTAATATAGCTGCTTTAATAGAAATGCATATATTTTTTTTCACTTCAATTCCCTATTTTTAAATATATGTTAACTCTTTCCAAAAAAGGTATACAAAAGGATTTGACCATGTTTTTTGTGTTTAAAACATTTTTTTACAGGTCACCCAGTTTATGTTAATAGATAGTTGTTTTATTTTTCATAGAGCATTAATATTTGCTTAGGAAACTATTTTTATATGCTATATGGTAATCTCAAATTAAGAAACAGTTACAGACTGATCAATATTTGTGTTTTTCACTCCTATTATTTTCTAATTATTGTTAATAAAATATTGTAATTTTTAATTTTCAGGCACTAATAATAGCTTTCACGTCTACTTTCATTGACCAACTTTTCTACATGTTTGTTGTTTCACCTGATGGTTCTCTGAGGGGTTATTTGAATTTTACCCTATCCAAGTTCAACATCGCTGATCTTGCTGATACATATAAGATTATTGACTTTAACCTAACTACATCCATCTGCTGGTATGTTCAAATAGATAATAGTAATTTGTGTAATATACAGTTGCTACAATAGAACATGAAATTCAATGTTTTAAATTTCACAGGTGGCATCACTTTTTGATACTGTGCAAATGTTGAGGAGTTCAGTGCACAGTAAACAAAGTCAAGCAGCTTTCCATTTTTCATTAGATATGCTATTAGGTTAAGCTTATGTCAATATTTTGTCTGCAACTATTTTACATTCCATTGTATTAGTTCATAATGTTGCTAGTTATCAAGACAATGATGTTTAGAAAAAGTGTTTGCTTCTTAATGAATAGGAAAAGGAAGAAGCAAGTGTACATTTGGAGAATGATAGTTATGTTGAAACACTTTTAATGGGATAGATGCAGGGCTGGGGAAAATATTTGTAATTTGAGACATTAGAAAAATTAGTTTCATGTATTCTTTTATATTTACTGATTGTCACATAGATAAGCATCACTTGCTTATCTATGTAATGATGCGTTGAAAGAGTTCATTAACTGTTCAGTCACTCCAGAGAGCTTTCAACCATAGTTTTAAGCCGCATTAGTTTTTCTACCTTTATTTTATAATTTAATTTTAAATAAATGATATGAAAAATAGTAAGCTAGTTAGAAAAAATATTATAAGATAGGTGTTGAGTATGTTATAATAAAATCATTTTAGAGCCTTACCTTTCCATTACAATCAACATCTCCACATCTAACCATGATCTACCTTACAACCATGCACCTTTAAAATATCCCTTCAGCATAGTTTTCATTACATGTGAAAAGCACACCACTACTTCCTGATTGCTTTCCATATACTGTCAGTTATATGAAGATGAGAGTTTCTCAGCACCTGTTTCAACAGTTTGATCACTGAAAAATGAATAGGCTCTACATCCAGTAATTTTACCAATATGTTTTTGTGTGGAATAGCAAAAATACCTATTTCCTTCTCCAGCTGCTTGAGGTACGTGCAATAGTTGAATGAATATATGGTGGGAGTAAGTTTTGTACATGTGACATAGATCACTTTTTTTCAGAAGGAGATTCTTCTTGATGATGTTTGGGTACATTGTTGGTATTTGCTACTGACACTTGTGTTAATTGATTTTCAACTTTTATGAAATGCCAGACTTTACTTACCATAGCTGTGTCTACAACTTGTTTCAAATCTCTTTCTGTGTGGTTCTGTTTCCCAAAGTTGATCCATATTATTTTGTTTTCCAATGCTGTTAAGTACAATGAATACTCCCATCTTGGAAATTCTAAATCCTCAATCTGAACACAACTTCATGATGTAAGTGTCTGAATAGTCTGCAATGGAAGGAGCTGTTACATACCCTTCCCAAGAGTGATCCATTTTTGGTACATCATCTTACCTAAGAAATACCACCCAATGTCAAAATATAATTCAGAAACATGCTATTTCACTTAATATAGTTTGTAGTTGTCATGTGACCTACTGATGGAAGGAGCTGTTACATTCCAAGAGTGATCCATTTTTGGTACATCAACCTACCTAAGAAATGCCACACAATGTCAAAATATAATTCTGAGACATGCTGTTTCACTTTATATAGTTTGTAGTTGTCATGTGACTTGCTGATTGGCATATATATTCAAAGTTATTTAATATACAGAGTTATTTTTATAAAACCATTGGGTTTATATGATCATTCTATACAAGTAGGATTGCAATTCGATTGTCAAACCATATTTTATTGCTCTTTCTTGTTCAGAGAAATCTAAATTGATAAAAGCTGTATTATATATTCCAAGTGGAAGATTAACATTTTTTATTGCATGTTTGTTGGTTATAAGTACTTTTATGATTCACTAGCTGCTACAATTTCATGTTGTTACAATCCAGAGTTGTTTAAGATCTTATATCTTAACAGATAATATACCTTTTTAATTGCAAGATCATCTACTCTGTCTTCATCTTTTATGTAGGTATCAGGGTTACAAAGAACCTCCTTCATCAAGTAATAAATATGAATATAGACCAGTTCACTGGCATATTTTAGCATTTCGTTTGGCCTTTATTGTTGCTTTCGAGGTAAGCAGTTATTTCTTTTTTAAATCTGAAATTTCATATCTTAAATGTGTCAATAATTAGTTTACTTTAATGCAGAGCCTTAATGAATAAAGCACATAACCTATTACAGTTTCAGTGATATGATTTGCTCTCTTTCTGTGATAAAATGTTTGTCAGTAATGCCTATTGCCAACTGAATGTTTTACCAGAGTTCTGTTTTACATTTGTGGTCTTTTCAGGTAAAACTGATTCCCTCAAAGAGTATCAGGTAGGTTTGCTATTAAATGGGAGGATGAGCAAGTTATATTAGGAAGTAATGTTGAATTTAGCTGAAACTAACTGAGTTTAAGCAAAGAAATGAATTGACTGGACACATTGAAAACTGTCTAAGGGCCAGGGTTTCTTAAATATCTATTTTTCAATAGGAAAATGTTGAAAAAAATCCCAAATGAGTGTGATTTATACAGTTCTTGAAAATATAACTACTGAAAACCTTGTGCCAAAAATCTAGCACTCAGGCTACATTTTGTCATATTTTTTCCACTTTGATGAAGTTGACCACTGTTTTTCACATGTGTTCTCCTTTACCAGAGTATATTGTACCTAGAATAAAAAGGCAAAAAGCAGCAAATTGTAAGGTCTTCTCTTCTGCTGTCTTTTTTCGGTGATAATATTTCAGCTGCCAACTTTGTTTACCATCCATTCTAAAAATACATTTCTGAAACCCATCACCGAAATGCATACTACCTTTGTATATTAGCAAAGACAGGTGTAGAAATTAATGTGATCTCCTTTACATTTCTACAGTACATCCAGATATAGCAGGCTAATAAGAATAGTTAGTTTGTATTAGACTTCTTCCACGGATCATAAATGTAAGCTTTTATTATAATGTGTCATTATACTAAGAAGTGCAAAACATATATAAGGAGTTGAATTATAATGGTGATCTCCTTTACCCATTTTGTGAATTCCTTTACATGCAACTCACCATGTCCCCAATTATCTGTTTTTATCACTCATAGATTTATCTTTGTAATTTATCAGTCATTTAAATCTAAAACTCCCAGCACTCACACCTTTTGGATGTTAGTTATACAGTTAAAGAGAGACACGCCTGTTATATAATCCCACTTTCAAGGACTTTTCATGCAGGAAAATGAGTTGATCTGTGACTAATATATTTCAAATCCACTCTACCCCAATCATCTGCACATGGTGGAAACTAAATATGGCGGGAAAACCATTATGTACCCTATATATTCCCCTCTGATGCCAAACTGAAATAAAGGAGAACATTTAAAGGAGTTCATGCAATTTCTTCTTGACTGATTTTTATTGAAGAATGCAATTTACTCTTACCCTTTCAGTTATTGATAACAACAAATGTCTTGGCTGTTGTGTATAAAAATATAACAAAATGACATAATTTGAGTATCTACACTAGATGTATGCATAAAAGAGATTATGTGCTTAATATAACTAATTTTATTACAAGATCCAAATGGACATACCCAAAATATATTTTGATACAGTGTGTTTGGGGTATTATGAAACAAATTATATACTTCCCAGGTTGACTTTAGACTCTAATATTTTTATTCACTCAAAAATTTTTAATTATTGTCTTGAAAATAAACAACCGTAAATGAGAGCACATGATTACGGCGACATGATATTTTGGATATTTTTATCTGTGAAAAAGTAATGGGACAATCAGCTTATAACAAATTTTCAAAACATAAATGTTTACTAATTAATCACAATAAAGGCTTGAATCATACTTACAAGTTTTGTGTTTCTGTTATTGCTTTGAAATTAAATTTTTCTGCTGGCGGTATGCTACTTTTAACACCCCACCATTGTTTATTTCCTTGGTTTGCTGGAAAAACTTAACACAAACTCAACATATTATATATGTTTGAAAAGCTCTATCCTTCGTCTATCATTTAGAAACTATTATATGTTTGTATAAGGTATGTTCTTGAAGAAATTTTACCCCAGACACCAGTGACATCAAACAGGATACTTAAGAAGGCCTGGTCCCTAAGTCAAAGGCAGTAACACATGCAGTTTGTGTACTTGCTTCTGCTCACTGGATTCATGAATGGATTAGAATTACTTTCTTCCCTCCAGATGTATTTTTGCTAACAAGTTCACTCTAGATCAGGAACAAATATATTTATCCTATAAGGATCTGTTCTATAATGTTTATATCTAACATTTCTTACTTAACTCTCTCTCAATGGACAAGTCAAAGGGTGCATGGCACGATGTTTAAGTTATTTTCAAAATATAATTAAACAACTTTATTATCATTGTATGTTAACACCTCTCTACACACCTTCCCACTCTTATTCTCCACTACCAGTGCACATTATTCTTGCCTCATCTAAGAATAAAGCTTATTTCAAGTACAATTACTTATGTAAATCTACCATGCATGGAGGATCTGTTGCTCTCCTATCGGTGGAGGGCCACTAACTGATGATGATTACATCACACACTAACACAGTTCATGTTAAAATACATGTCTTAGGTGAGAGATAGCTTAAGGCTATTGGCATGTGCAACATCTCAAAGACAGACGTGCAAGAAATAGCTATTGTGTGCAGAGAGGTATCTCTTGGAAATACATTTTCAGGTAAGGAAAATGTTAACTTTTCTGTTACAATCTACAGTCATTCTAGAAAGAGGGTAATTTAGAATCATTTTATATTTTTTGTGGTAGTTACAAGGTCAGTCAAATCAACAGAGTCCATATAGTGTTAGGATAGAGAAACTAACAAACTGAAAAAGATGTTGATACTAATTTAGAAGGTTCTAGAGTTTATTCAAATTAAGTTTAAACCCAGTTAGATGAAAAAAAATCTATTTTTAATCTTAATATGAAAATCACCTTACATTCAGACTAGTCAGATTCTGAGTCACACCCTGGCTCCATATTTTCACTGAAAAATCTTTAGTAAAAATACTTAATTAAAAAAAAACTTGCTAGATTTCATGAAGATTCATGTACTACATTAAAAGTTATAGTACATGAATACTTTCATGGTTTCCTGAAGGTTGCAAGGTCAGTCAAATGACCAAGCCTGTAGAGAGAGAGAGTTAACAGTTGTTACAACTTGACTCTTTCTAACCACAGCATGCCAAATGCAGAAAGGAAAGCACAGCTTAAGTGGTTCTTAGAATGCAGACTGTGGACAGTTAGTGACTGGAAGGTGTGATCTGATTTGATGAGTCATATTTCATCATTTTCTCCATTGATGATAGAGGGAAAATATGGAAGAAACTGTTAAAGCACTTGTTCTTGCTTATTTGTTCTGACAGTGCAAACCACTGGAAGTGATCTAATGGTGAGGGAATTGATCTCATGGTAGTTTGAGGGCTTATAATGATAAACATTAGGTTTCAATACTTGCAGTGGGCAGAGCACAGATAGCTCATTTTATATACTTTTTTGCTTGACAACAAACAAATCTATTAAAGAGAACAGTAATTGTAAGAAAACTGACCTTATGTGAGTGTAATGTAGAAAATAAAGTGTTAATAAAATGTTAAGATATTTATATGAATATAGATACATATGTTATATGATATATTCAAAGAAACAAATAGTTTACGAATGTGTTTTTAATATGATGCACGGAGAAAAAGATTAACAAAAAGAAACTATAGTAAATTTTTTTTTCTCCTCTTTCTAGTATTTGCATAAAATACATTTAATCAATATCATTTCATAACTTACAGAACATTATAGCATTTATCACAGTCTTAATCCGTTGGATGATCCCAGATGTTCCAAAGTCTCTAAAGCTCCAGATGAGGCATGAAAATTACATCACTAATAAAATAATCACTGATCAAGAACTGAGAAGAGTAAAAGAACATGATATTACTAGAAGTAGAAGTATTTTGCACAGGGGAAATGACAGGTTTAATTATTCAGCACCAGAGAAACCCTACTTCAAATGAGAATTTTTGATGGTTAGTGACATAGCATAAATGTGACTATTCTTTAGTGTCAAAAACCTCATTACTTTAATTAGTGTAATGTATACTAAGGTCTTCCATATCTCTTAAAAATAATTGTATCGACACTAAATATTAATGCTACACTGTCATTTGTATTTTTTGAATAGACATTCTGGTCAATTTTTTAGTAATATAAATAATATAATTTTTTGTAATATAAGGAAACGCTTCTTTTTCTATGTGGTTTTTTGCAAGCTTGCCTCATTAAAAAGATGCACATGTGTGCACACATATAGATAAGTGATAATATCCAGGTGCACACTCTCAGGGTCCAATAAGTATGAGTGCAAAATTTCAGGTCTCTAAGTTCTTTTCTCTTGGAGCTATGGTGGTCACACATACAAGCATGTGCACACATGTGAGTGTCTGTCTGTGCACATGCATGTGGATAAGTAATAATACCCAGGTGCACACCCTCAGGTTCCACTTAGTGTGGGTGCAAAATTTCAGGTTTCTAAGTTCTTTGCTCTTGGAGCTATGGTGGTCACATATTCTTTTCTATGTGGTTTTTCGCTTGCTTACCTTACAAAAAGATGAGCATGAGGTTCTTTCCTCTTGGAGTTATAGCAGTCACAGACACTCCCTTTTATTATTATAGATTTTAAGTTGTCTTGTAGATTTTTTTTATACTTTTTAATTTCATATATCTTAAAACTGTCTTCAATATTTTACATGGGATTGTCTGCTAACATTTGTCTTGTGTAACATTATCATTTGGAAGTATGCCTAATATGTAAGGTATACTATTCTGTATGATTTAGTTCACATTGTTTTTAACATTTTCAACTTATGCTTGCTGATAGGGTTAAGATTTATTAAAGTATCTTTGGATCAATCCACATTTTATGTTTCCTTCCATATTTATCACTCTGTAGTAATACATTTAATATGATCTGAAGTTCAACTTTCTAGAAATTCATTTGAGTGGAGAAGTCATAACCTACAGGATGGAAAATTTTTGTTTATGAGTAAGAGTCATGGAAAATTTCTTTTTCTTTAATTTTCAGTTTATTATTTAATTTGCATTTAACCATAGCTAAAGAGTTATGGAATATCAAGTTCATACCTTGAATTATGAAATAAATAAAAATTTAACACTGAAGATAATTATGTATTATATTGCGAGTACCAAAATTTGATTACAATAGGTCCCAGATTAATAGTTGGAAGTTTTTCTGTTTCTCAGTGCACTGTGTTTATACAATTCATCTGTAACTTTTTAGCTTGTACAAAAATTTATTGTCTGGAGACAGAAGAAGATATGAATGTTATGTTTATAAGTATATAGTTTGCTTGTTTCTCAAAGAGTGAACACATCGAGATGGAAGATTCTTCTTTTCAGAACTGTATATGCGTAAAACATACTCCATATAAATTATGAACACAAAAGAAATTTCATTAAGATGTCCCTAAGTACTTATCTTCCTTATTGATGATTCATTGTAATTCTGTATAAATAAGAATATACTGATGTTTGAACAAGTTATTTCCATGAAAGAACATACTGTCTTCTTCTAACTTCTTCTAACTTCAAGTCCTATATTACTTAATTAACAATCTAAAACAAATAAAGAACTTTTTAAGAGATATATGTATGTTCTATTAACAATAAGATTTTAACTTGGAATGTTGAAAGTTCAATTTCCTAAGGATTAGAAGCTTAAAAGATATATATAATATATTGATTTTGAACAATAACAAAGAACTTCTACAGCTATTTCCAAAACTTAGAAGTATAATTTGGCTATATCAAGCTGTCTTTTTGCCTTAACCCTTTCTTTCTATGAAGGAGATACAATAATGTAGAGATAATCTCACACCTGATGCTACTCAGTTATTATTTTCCAAATTATTAAAAAAAGAATATAAGGTAATGCTGGATTGAATAACATATATTTCAGACTGGTGCTTCTTGTTATCTTTTCAAACTGATATTACAAAAGAAAAAGAATTTTATTGAATATTTCAAGTTGGCTTTGCACTATTCAGAAAATTCATAAATTCACATGCATTAAAAAAACTTGTAGAAAGTGTAGCCAGGGATGATTTGGTGACAAATGCAAAATATCAAATTTATATTTAAAAGAAATGTTTATGATTCAAGAAAGCAGCCACATCAAGAATCACTTACTTTTAATTATCTAAAAATAGTTTTAAAAGAAATGATTGCTTATTGTTTTAAACTTATTTTTAAGAAAATAAATACAAGGTAAACTAGACATTACATATAGCATGAGCCAAATTGAGAAAAAATTAAACTGTTATATATAAACACCAGTTTGGCCAGATTTGCCTAAGAAGTTTCAAGTTAACCTTCTCAATATGTCCAAATCATACAGAGAACCTATTAACATAACTGATTGTGCATGTTTGCCATAAAAACAGTTTTCACGAAGTAATATCTGTCATTCAGTTTATAAAGGTCTTAACAGACTTGATTTTAATTTTCATTGTTAACTACATGTAATATAAACTATAATCAAAACTAAATTCTGGATTATTGATTGAACTAATGCAATACATATCTGTTGGGTAATCCTGTGTAGTTAGAATTATGCAGCTGTATTTGTTAGTTTTATTATTTTTGGTTTATGTACTTGTTAATCAAATAGGAACAAACCCTGTAAGCATTAAATGCTGTTTTATAATAATATGGCTTAGTCCTGTGACTTATAACTGTGCCCAAATCTAACTTTTCTGCTTCTTTTTTTTTTTTACTATGAATTTCTTAACATTTATAGAAGTTAATTAATATTCACCTGTTTGTCCAAAATGTGAAATAAAAATACTCCGAGACAAATCAAAATACTGAATTCATTTGTCTTCTTTTCAACTCCCCTTCCTAATGGTTCAGTGGTAAACCTGAGGCAGAGCATAGACAGCCCATTATGTAGCTTTGTGCTTAACAACAAACAAATATTTTCACAATTGAATATTAACATGAAAACCCAAATCCCTACGTGGACTTGATTTACAAAAAATAAATGAATAAAATCATCTTCTAATTATAATTTATATATTCATTATGTAAAAGATATTTTTTTAGTTTTACCACAAATAGTTATTTTACATCTAAAGTAGTAAATTTATTGTTTGGTTATTCAGCAATGATAACCAGTATTTTAGTTTTTAAGAATTTTTTTTCTTGTTGACATAATACTTAGTGTGTGATATTGTTGCACAACCAGTAACTTCCAGCCCTTAAAGCACACATGTGTAACATGCAGCTGGTGGGTTGCATTTGGCTGGCAAGGTGGTATTTTCTGGCCTGTGATGAGTTCTTAAAATATAATTGAATCTGGCCCACAATCTCGTATTTTGTTCTGTAATTAATCAAGGAAAAGTGCCTACAAACTACCTTACATAGACTGTTCAAGTATTTTGATGTCTTTGGCTTTACTACATATTTGACTGTTATTTTTATATTGTTTGTAAGTCACAAAATAAGTATTTATTATATATATAGCAGTCACTAAACTTCATGCCCCCCCCCTCCCCTCTGTGAACTTACAATGCTAGAAACTGGGCTTCCATAACTGTGGTAAGCAGAGCACAGATACCCCTTTGTGTAGCTTTCCTGATCTAAAGTAACATTGAAAAATTTTGTATCACTAACTTAGATTTTTCAAAGTTGAGCTTAATCATAAGTCTCTTACTCATGATAAGGTAAAGTATGTAGACTTTATAATATGATTTATTGGGCACTGAAAAATTAATATCAACCAGCTTACAAACAATTTTATAGGAACCAATGACTGCTAAACAATATGCTATTTCTATTTTACTGCAGATATTGTTGCACTTGTAACATCACAAACATATTTTTTAAATCTTCATATAAATGTTATAATCATCAGTAAACATGAGGAGATGGCATCTTGTTTTTAAATATGATCTAAAAAATAAATACAACACTGAAAATCTAAGTTATATTAGAACACTTCCTGCACACACATTTATAGAACACTGTTTACATACAATGTACTGAGTGCATGCTTGAGTCCTATAAATGCACTGATTGAGCTATTTCATGCTTAGTCGATAAGGCAATGAGTAAGAAGAAGGAAAATTTCTGACTTTCAAAGGAACAAAATATTTTTTGCTTTATTTAGCAGTTTATCATTATCAAAGATTGTTTCTGTCACTGGCTTTCAATAGTGATAAGCAAAAGACACTTTAACAGGCTTGTAAAAACAGCAAATATTAGACTTTCTCAATTGACTGATTCTCACATCAGTAGGCAAGATTCATTATCTCCAATTGTATCATGAAAAATAAATCACAGAACTGCTGCATTGCAACCAACAGCAGGTTATTTTAGCTGTAAATAGGAAATAACAACAAAAAACAAAACGGGACTGTAATTTAGTTTGAAGGAAGAGAAAGCAACATTACGTTGGCTTGCTTTTCCCAACTGGCGTGCTCGGGAACGCTGTACCCCTTCAACCCTACGCGTGAGAATAATTTGCTACAGAGATTATATTCGTAATTGTAAACATTAGCCTAATATTTTAAAGGGGTATTTTGAGAGAGAAGCTGTGAACAAGGTCGGCTGAGGGAAGATGCAATTCTTGTCCAGTGGTGGTAGAGTCGATGACGTCGACGAGGCAAGGCAGAGAGATCCAGACATGCATGTGGGTGGGTTTAGAATTTAATTTGTATTTTAAGTATATTTTATTGGGATGGTTTATGAGGAATAATTTTGATTGAAATTAAAATTGTATTGAATTTAAAATGATATTAAATTGAGTTTGAGGCCCTTTTCAGGGGGGTGGGGACCATAAGGTCTAATGTCCTTTTGAATTTTGATGTGGGGGAAACCAGAGTCCCCGGAGAAAACCCACTTTCACAGGACAGACGCCGAATAATCTGTCTGTCCTATGCCTTGGATGTAAAGTAACACATAATGATCAGATGTAAAGCCATGGTAATCAACCCTCTGTGTGAGTGTTTGATTCTTTGTTTTGCTGTTCGCAGATTGTATGGTGAGATGTGTTTGGTAGAAACGCCTGAAATTTTGTGAAATGCAGCAGTCAAGCTATTTCTTTTTTCCGCGTTTCTATAGTAGTTAAAAGCTAGTTAACTTAGTCTATCTTTTAAAATGAGTTTATTGCTGAATTTATGTAAGTACTATACTGGAGTGAATTTTGGAAGCCTTAGGGCTAATCTTATTACTCTGTTTTGTTGAATTTGTAATTTTTAAGGTAATTTTTTAGCATGTTGTAAATTATTTGGCATCCATATTCTATTAGTGGACGAACAAATGTTTTGTATATATTTTTAGGACTTTTGTGGGAGTGCAGTTTGTGTGTTTACCTGCAATTAGTCTTGTGTAATTGATGCATGTTAATCGAGGCGTGTATGTTCTGAATGTGTTTGTTCCATGTTAGTCGGATATCAAATATGATTCCGAGGAATTTGATGTTATTACTCAAATTTTTTGTGTGCTTCCTAGCTTAAGTTTGATTTTTTTGATAGTTTTCTTTTGTTAACATGTTTTTTTTTTAAAAAAAAGGCTATTGCTTGTGTTTTTGTTGGATTTAATATCATTCGCCATTTGTTACACCATTAAATTTAGAGATTCTTGGACACTTGTTATTGCTATGAGTGGATTTCTATATATGCTCCAGTCTGCTTCTTCGTCAGCATATTGAGAGTGGTATGTATAAGTTAATTCGGGAAACGGGATGTCGTTAAAAAATAAGATGTATGGGAGAGGCGAAAGGGTGGATCCATGCGGCACTCCTGCCGTGATAGTGAATGACTGGGATAGCGTGTCGTTTACTTTAGCTGATCTATCGGTTAAAAGGATTGATAGCCATCTGATTACAGTTTCGTTAATATTTAGATTTTTTAATTTATATCTTATGGCATTGAGCCAGACACTGTCAAATGTTTTTTAACATCTAAAAATACACCTATTGTGGCTTGATTACTATTAAATTATTTGTATATTGATTCAATTAATCGTGTGTGGTGGTCTAATTGTTTGTCAGTTCTTTCTTAATGCGTTTTGGATGTCTGATAATAAATTATTTGTTTCACAGAAATATAGGAGTCTGTTCGATATAATTTTCTCCGTTAGCTTGCCAAGACAGCTTAACAAACTAATGGGGCGGAAATTATCTGGGTTTGATCTATTGGTTTGGTTTTTAGGTATTACGGTAATTATTGCTTGTTTCTAAGTGTCCGGATAGTAATCACTTAATAGAGATAGGTTTATAATGTTGACTAAAGTTTGAAGCTTTTTTCAGAACAATATTTCTAACTGCATCATGTCCATTTTTAAGCGATTTTATGTTGACTTTCAGCTCTGTCTTGGTAACTTTTCCGTTTATCGGATTGTGTTGGTTGGTTGTCGTGTTTTTGTGTGTGTTGTTTACTGGGAAGCACAGAGTGAAAAGCGAGGGGGTTCGAATTAACGTAGTTGTTTACTTTAGTGTGGAGCTGGGTATCGAAATTCGAAGAACTTAAGTTACTAGAGGAAGTTTCTTAATAATTTTAATAATTACCTTTGTCGG